ACTGAACTCTCAACAAAGTAACAAGGCAAGTGTGCCAACTGCTTAACCTGCTCTGTACCAAAGTTAAGCAGCAGAAGAACACATGACTATAGGAAAAGTAGAGAGCACCTACCTACTGTGCAGGATTGACAACAATTTGACTTGGAGCAGTAATGCTCAGATTGCACCTCTTGCTACAGCAGGCCAAAATTACCTCTCAAGTACAGGATTATATCCCAGCCATTTACAGCTCTGGAAGAGCCTCTTGTGCCTCTCATAAATATAGTAGCATTCATCCTAGGATGCTGGCCAAACTTTATTCATGTAATTTTCTGTACAATTCCTTACAGAGATTTTAAGTGGAAAGGGTAGGTTTTGCTTCTCATCCCAAACTATCTCATGATGTTAAACAACTGCTACCTTTAATCTCAGAAGTTGCTGTACTGAAATCAGTTTAAACTCAGTAATGCACTTGAAGATCTCTGGGGACAGATATATTATTTCATAGCTGTAAGCCATTTTAATGCATGAAACATAAACTGCAAATGGCTAATCCCCAACACAGACTTACTGCCACAAAAATTAAACTCCATCAAAGAAGACCTTTAATAAAGGGCTTTCAGAACAATACTAAGAGCAGGAAGAGAATAATACTATCAGTCTCTATTAACTCCCTTAGGAAAAACAGAGGATTATGCAACTCAACTGTTCAGCTGCTGAGGGCTTACATACATCATGTACAGAGAGGGTTGCTTTTTGGGTGCAAAACGCCTGCTTGTTCTGACTGTTTTCTGTTGCAAACTCTTCAATTTCACCAGCTTTCATTATCAAGTTTTACCTCAACAATGTTATAGGCTAAGTGCACAGGCTGTATCAAGACTTACAGGACATATCCTGGGGAAAAAAACCCCTGAAATGCATGCTCAAATTTAGCAGAACTCGGTTTAAGTCTTTAAAACACACTTACAAAGACAATAGCAAATAGGGCCATAGCAACATCAAGATTCACATTAGCTAGTGACAGCAGCTTTCAAAGGATACAGAGGGCATATTGAAGGAGGAAGTATTAGCATTCAGGTTCTCTCTCAGAGTAACATGCTGTCTGCTTTCTCGTAGATCAGATGAGCAGTAAACAATTGTACATATCCATATGTACAATGTGGACCCATATCCACAGTTATTCAGGACCCAACTTTCAACAATTTAATTTAGGGTTAAGGAATTAATGAAGCCCTTCAAAGGATTATGTCTGTTATCTTTTCAGGCAGATTCTTAATGTCTGTGTAGAATTGCAGGTTATTTTATTATTACTATTATTGTTTTTTCAGCAGATATAAACCCATATATTGTGAAAGAAAAAACACAAATCAAGCATTTCAGTACTACAGACAGAAAAAGCTTCAGTAAAAAGACTATAGTTATTAAAGGGAGGCAACAAAGTAAAAGGAAGATTTAAAATTTGTATTAAAAGAGTTCATACCTCCCGGACCCATCTGCTTTGGTCCTCACTGCTGTCCAGGTATTTGCAGAGTTTTCGCAATGAAGCGGAAACATGTACTCGCGATTCTGTTTGGCTACTGTGGCTCATGAACGAAAGAACAAGTCCTACTCCTAAAATACATCCAGTGCTTTAAGAGAAAACAAAAGAAAAACCAATTAAGTATATTTTGGCTGCTCTGAACTCTCTTTAAACCCCAGCATAGGTTGCTAGGTAAGAAGACTTCTTGGCCTTGCTTGATAACTAGCCCTGTGTATAATTACTTACCATAGTCGATTTTACAAATGATTTTTATTTCACACATGCTTTTTGGGAGACATAGGATGAAAGAAGAGCATAAGAAGAAAATGTATATTTAAATAACAAATCCTACACATACAGCCCCATTATTCCTTCTGCCTCTGAAGAACCAATAACCCCAACAACAACTACATCAGCTAGTATGAAGGAAGTACAGATCCAAACTTTTAAGCGTGATTTATCCTGATTGTATAAAGTCTCATATCCCTGTTAAACATACTAATTGCAGATTCACTGGCTGTATTAGAATCTGGTGCTGTCAGACTCCTACAAGAGGTTGTTTCATATGCATATGCAACAGTGGATCAGCTTCATCAGGGCAGGCATAACTAGCACAACTAACTGATGCTGTGGATATTTAAAATTGCAACAAGAACACAGCTACAAAGCATATAATTTAACAGGGCATCTGGCACAAACAGCTTCATAGTCTCTGCCTCTTTATCATATTTGACCAGAAATTCCATTCTGGAACAGAGAACTCTTATTAAATTCTGTACCTGTGCACCCATAGCAACTTCCAAGTCATCAGTTTTGTCAGAACACTCTCAAACAGTTCTGGCTGCCATCACGAGATACTAAAGCATACCAGACTCCTCTGACAGGGATCTCTCACTGGCACGCATCCACAATAGCTCAAAGAAACAACTCTTATCTGAAGATAATTTTTTCCCACTCACACATCTCCCTGACAATGCATGTAGTGGGCAGTGAGCAGTCAAATGAACGTGGCTAGGATCTTAGGCATTCTTCCAGGCTTCTCCTATCCAACTTAAAAATGGAAAGAGTAGCTGCTTTTACTCAGCTAGGTGAAAAAGAAACTTCTCAGAATAACTTCAGTCATATTTATAAGCTAATGTTTTACAGTAACTGTGGATGAAGATGACTGAGCATGGCTAGAAGACCTGGAGTGGTGTCTTAGTAGTGGTATCTTTTTCCAGCAAGGAAAATCAAATAAACCTTTTTAAGCAACTTGCGTATCTGAATTCATGAACAGCCAACAAAAATAAGGATGTGGTTTACACACAAGAGTTCTATACCCAAGTTTACACTACTGCTTGTTGACAAAACTACACAGAACATGGAATTTCTCATTAGAGCTACATAATTTTATATTACTGACTCTATTAATAGAGACTCAAAACATAAGTGGGGACTAAAGCAAGACTAAAACTTTGCTCCCCTTTTTAAAACTAACAATTTTTTTAAACTAACAATTACTTTCACTTGGCCACCTTATTTGTGAACTACATAAAATGAGTATTTAAGTGCATTTTATTCACATGATACCTCAGATTTACCAGCACATTCTGAGTGTTATACTGCCAGGGTGCTGGGAGCCCTGCCTCCCACTGGGGGCAATCTGAGTCCGGCCAGCACCGACTCCCACACCCACGCTGCTTGACAAACCTAAGCTCAAAACAGACAGCCTGTTTTTAGGGAAAAAGAGAATCACCAGTTTAGAAGGGGTGAAACACTGATGAGAAGGTCATTGTAATGCTCACGTCTCACAGCTGGCCATGCCCGTGTCACACTGGATGAAAAGGCTGGAAAGGACCTTCCTTTGGAATAGCAGTTTACAAGTGCAGAAATGCAAAACTTGGACAAGTCCACAATGTTTACAGCTTTACACTACTTGTTTGTTTACAGAGAATGCTCATACTAGACAGCAACTTACTCTTAACCTTTAAAAACCACAGGCATAAAAAATTACCCCACCCTTCAATCTTCCCTCTCCTGCCTGCCATTGTTTCATATTCTTCTGGCATCTCTCACCACCAGAGGAGTCTATCTTGGCTTTTCCGTGAGGCCTTGATCTCCAGCTAACAGGCTGCACAGACTAGCAGCAATAGATATAACGAAGGGGCATAGCTAGTACATCCCCTGTGCACTGTGTGTCTCACTCTGTGCCACTCAACAGACAAAACAAATCCTCACTTAAGCTATATAGGTTCACAGCCCAATGGTGCACAGCTGTGACACCTCACAGCTTTTCAGAAAGTCCCCGGAGAAAGGAGAGCAAAGGCAAGTGGGAATTATTGCTGTTTCCTGTGAATAGGGAAGTAATGCTCAAAATCAAGGAAAACCTTATGCACCCACACTGAGGCGCTCAAGATACTGCAGTTCTTCCCTGATTTGAAAGGGAAATGACTACTGTGGAAGAAACACATGACTATGTTATGTTAGCTGTCTAATGACAACTGACAGATGTGTTTTATTGTTCCATTATTCCAGGTTTGTCAATCCTAGTAATCGTGCAATGCCTTTCAATAATTTCTTGCCCTGTTGGTGGACCACTGCTCTCCTTGGGACATCTGAGGCATAGCCTCAGTTGGTTTAATCAAATATATTTGTTTTATTCAGTATTCAACATGCCATCCACAGCTGTTAAATTAATGGTATGGCTCTCCCAGATAAATTTGCTGAATGAGGCAGCTGCTCCTGGAGCTCACACTGTATTGTACACATATATGTGTGGCTTGAGGGGCACCTAGCAGTTATCTCAAGCAATGACAGAAAAGAATTGAGGATATGTATCTGGGCTCTTACATGGTGGGAGGCCAAAAGGCAGTGGGCACAAGCTGAAACATCAGATGTTCACATGGAGATAAGGGCAGTCCAAAAGCAGAGCCAGGGTCCAGAAACATGTTCTCCAACCTTGGGGGTTTCACACTCTGACTGTAAAGCTTTGGGCAATGTAGCCCAAGTCCATGACTGAGTCAAGTGGACTTCCAAAGGTCCTTTCCAGATTGTATGAGTTGGTGATTCCATAGAAGTATTGAAAACAGGCTGTCTCCTTATCCTATCTTTATACTCTTCTGTGTAGAATTAAGGAATAAAAGCATGAGTTTAAAAGGTGGAGCTCAAAATAAGGTTTCATAAATAATAAAGGAAACTCACGTGTACTCCAGATTGGTGTCAAAGCAGCAGTCCTCCAGCATATCCAGGGACTTCATCAGAACCAAGTTCATCTGTTGACCAGGTATATCACTACAAAATCAAACCAAAAGAGAAACAACAACAAAAAAAAATCCAATGAGAGGAAGACTCTGATAAAACATGATCTCAGCTAGACCTATAGCTATTTATAAGCTGAAAATTCATGACATTTTAAACTATTAGTTCTGTAAATCTCCCTCCATCTCATTGCCTAACCTATTGATAAGAAAATGAAGCATTTACATCTTACTCCAAAGATGTCATAGGGACTCCTTTCTTCTAAAATATGTACACAGTTTTATTAATGAACAGACATTCTTAATGGAAACTATGACCTGATATTATCTATAGCGAGATCCCTATGAGTTTTGCTGTTGTTGCAAGTCAGTGCTTTGAAGAATGTTCGAGATTAAGCTTTCAAAACATACAAGACAGTGGAAGAGTAAAAACAGTCCATAAGAAATGGTTAGATAAATGTATTCACCTCAACATCCCTCAGCAAACAAACCCAACCCCTCAAAATAAAGATCTGCATACTCCAAAATACCATGCTGATCTACCTTTATTCTCTTTAAGAGCTTTTTAATGCTTGTGTGTAGCTCAGCTGTCACCACTGATTAATCATCCAGAGATAGTCCATTCCCAAACTATGTGGCCGAGTCAGTGGCAGCAAGGCATCTAGACACTAAAGCATGAAGAGTATAACTGAGCAATGCTGCACAGTATTTTAAAAGCAGATGCCTTGGTAACATGAGCTTCACCAAGTAAATTAACAACTGCCAGTCAAATCCGTTCGATACCTGTGCTTGTGAGCCAATTAAACATTTGTTATGGGTATATAGGAAGACAGGATCCCCAGAAATCAAGAAACTGGAGGAGTATAAAGCTGAACTCACTTTCTTAATTTTTTTGGAATCATCAGAAATTTTCAACTGAGGCCAACTCTTCCGAAAACGAGGCATTTTCTGCCAAGTGCAAAACATCTCTTTGCTGCCTACATAGCTGTAGCAGCACATTTTGAAGACAGTCCATTACGTTACTTCTGTTGTAGCTCCACCCTCATATGTGTAATTCACACAATGTAAGTGGATACTATCCAGTGTCCAGAGCACTACTTAGAAAGAAACCAATGAGAACTATGAATTATTTTACAATTAAATCTTCTAGGGCAGCTAGTCCCATTTAAAAGCATATGTGTGGCTCTTCTAAGTGATTGTTTTGAACGTTTACCTTAGGATATTATGCAAATCAATCATTCATTCTGAAAGAATGACAAAATACTCAGATAGCTCTGGCAAGGGGTGGGGCAAGAGGTGAGGACTGATAATAACAAGCATTTTTTAAGAAATATTGCAAAGCCCCTTAAGAATCATTTGCCTATGACTTTTAAATACTTTAATTCCTCAGAACTTCAGGTCACATGCAGAAAAAAAGAAGTTATTTGCACAACTACATTACACACCGTAATCCTTACCTGACTTTTTCATCATACAAACGTGAGATAAACATCCCCAAACCAAGACCCATGTGGATTTGAACAGCTTGAGACTCATCAGCATTTGGTTTCCCAGGTAACCTGTCAGTCAACATATTCAGGATCTCCTCAACCTTCTCCTTGCATGATATGATAAAAACTGGCACCAGGAGAGACAAAGCTGTGGCTGCACAGGAACGAGCTATAATACTAGCAGTATTTTCACCTGAATAGGATTTCTAGAAAAAAAAACACAAGAAAGAATTTTCTTTCCCCTTCCCTCTTGAGGGAAGGAAATAAAATTCCTTTCCAGGTAGTAACACTCAGCACCTCAGGAATTTAAAATAAATACCTATAGAGCAAAAAAGCAGCACAAATGTATTCAATCTTGCAATAAATAGTATTTCATGAAACTGTCTATTGTAACTTTTCTATTTGGTTTACCTTCTAAGCAGCATAAAACTAGGGCAATTCAGAATATAATTTCTAAGTATAAATAAGATTGTTAAGTATGAAAGGAATCAAATGATAAGACAGTATGCAACTAGAATTTAACAGCTAAATGCATTGGTCTACATTAGTTTTCATCCACCTTGTAAAAATATCCAGCAAAATGATCAGAAGAGCAAACAAAAACCAGCCATTATGTGTTATTTAAATATAACACACATAGAATTTAGCAAGTTGGAAAAAGTATTACCTTAAATGCATCACACCTAGAATGACAAAATATCACAAGACCTTGGAACTGCTCAAGAGCGATGCATCCTAATGCAAGAATTCACACAAAGGGGGCAAGAGACCTACATGCATGCAGGAAGCAGGGTCAAGCCACTAGGAATGAATATAGAGAGGTTGTCAGAATAACTAGAAATGAGAAAAGGAATGCCAAGGCCCATCTGGAAATAAATCTGGCTGAGGATGTCAAGGACAACAAGAAGGGCTTCTCCAAATCCATCAATAATAAGAGGAAAACTAAGGGTAATGTGGGCCTGTTGCTAAATGGAGCGGGGACACTGGTAACACAGGATGCAGATACAGCATAATTACTGAATGCCTTCTTTTGCATCAGTCTTCACTGACAAGACCAGTCCTCAGGAATCTCTGACCCAGGAGATCAGGGTAAAGGAATGTTGGAAGGAAGACCAATTTCCCTTGGTCAAGGAGGATTGGGTTAGAAAACACCTAGGCAATCATGACATCCACAAGTGCATGGACCCTGATGGGATGCATCCATGAGTGCTGAGAGAGCTAATGGACACCAGAGTTGGGCTGCTCATGGTCTTCTTTGAAAGGTCATGATGATCAGGAGAGGTTCCTGAGGACTGGAAGAAAGCAAATGTTGCCCTGGTCTTCAAAAAAGGCAAGAAGGATGACCCAGGAAACTAACAGCCAGTCAGCCTCACCTCAATCCCTGGAATGGTGATGGAGAGCCTCATTCTGGAGGCCCTCCCTATTTACATGGATGGCAAGAAGGTGATCAGAAGCAGCCAGCATGGATTCACTAAAGGGAAATCATGCTTGACCAATGTGGTTGCCTTCTATGATTGGACAATTACCTGGATACATGAGGAAGAGCAGTGGATATTGTCTACCTTGACTTTAGCAAGGCCTTCAACACTGTCTTTCATAACATCCTCATAGGCAAACTCAGGAAGTGTGGAATGGATGAGTGGACAGTGAGGTGGATTGGGAACTGGCTGAATGGCGGATCTCAGAGGACTGTAATCAGTGGCAGAGGGTCTAGCTGGAGGCCTGTCACTAGTGGTGTCCCCCAGCGGTCAATAACGGGCCCGGTATTGTTTAACTTCTCCATCAGTGACTTGGATGAAGGGGCAGATGCCTCCTCAGCAAGTTCAATGATGACACACAAAGCTGGGGGGACTGGCCGATACCCCAGAGGGTTGTGCAGCCCTTCAGAAGGACCTCGACAAGTTGGAAGGATGGGCAGAGACCTGTCTGAAATTCAACAAAGGCAAATGCAGAGTCCTGTACAGAATAACCGAGGCACCAGTTCCAGGCTGGGGGCTGACCTGCTGGGGAGCAGCTCTGTGGAGAAGAACCTGAGGATCCTGGTGGACAACAAGCTGTTCATGAGCTAGCAGGGCTCTTGTGACCAAGAAGGCCAGTGCAATCCTGGGATGCATCAGGAAAAGCATTGCCAGCAGGTCAAAGGAGGTGATCCTGCCCCTCTACTCAGTGAGTGAGGCCACATCTGGAGTGCTGTGTCCAGTTCTTGGCTCCTCAGAATAAGAGAGATACGGAGCTCCTGAAGCAGATCCAGCAGAGGGTGATAAAGATGATTAAAGGACTGTTATGAGGAAAGGCTGAGGGAGCTGGGCCTGTTCAGACTTGAGAAGAGCTGACTGAGAGGGGACCTCATCAGTGTCTATCAGTATCTGAAGAGAGCGTTTCAGGAGGGTGAATCCAGGATCTTCTCGGTGGTAACAAGGAACAGGACAAGAGGCAACGAACAGAAGCTGATGCACAGGAAGATCCAGCTGAACACGACAAAGAACTTCTTTACTGTGTGGATGACTTTGCACTGGCAAAGAGACTGGCCACAGAGGTTGTGGAGTCTCCTCACTGGAGATATTTAAGAACCATCTGGATGTAACCCCATGCCACATGTTCTAGGGTAACCCTGCTTGAGCAGGGAGGTTGGACCAGATGACCCACTGTGGTCCTTTCCAACCTTATCCATTCTGTGATTCTGTGATAACCAGTAGAGTTGCTTTCTAAAAGAAAGATCCCTTTTCTTTCCATTCTGAAAGGTAAAGTCCACACAACTGCCTCTACTTATAAAGTAATGGACTGATTGTAAGTGATAGCCTAATGTATATTTATCATCTTCCACATGCAACTCTGAAAAGAAAAATATCCCATCAGGATGCAAGGCGGTCCACAAGACAGTGATTTCTATTGTGTGCCTTATGTTTGTAAAATTCTAAGATTTATTTTTTTAAAAGGATGGATTTTAGAAATGAAACATAACGTTTTTCCATCTCAAAATCCCATTTTTAAACAGCATAATTTTCAAAGGCATGAATCATAAAACAATTTGTCAAGAATTGCTCATGCTAACCAAGTGCTGAATCTTCTTATGCCCAAACAATCTAGCAGTCATTTATTTGGTGATCTCTGTCCCCTTTCAGTGATGACAGAGGGTCACATGCCAGTTACATCAGTAATTTTCACCTTTTGATAATAAAATCTCACTACCGGACTGAACGTAGTTCATGAATGCAATTACTGAAGTTCTGGTTAAAAATCATCATGATACACTAGCAGGCTGTTACTTGGCCCTGCAGAACCCAAGTTCTCCTCTGCATCTATGACACGAAGAATTTCCAACTTGGTCATTTGACCACAGATAGTAAAGGGTTAGCAATACCTATTCTTTAAGGTCTATACTGAGCTTTCAGTCCATCTCTAGGTCCTACTTGAGAACTGCCTAACACTTAAATGGCATGAGAATTTCAGGCTGGTTATTACACTCCAAGCACATATGATACAACTTCTACTGGCCCTAAGGAGTTCAAAAGATATTGTAAAATAAGAATCACCTGTTCCATAACTATTAGATTTTCAGAAAGTATGCATTTCAGAGTCCTGAGAAATAGTGTGAGAATCCCTCAGGAGTTTGACAGCGGAGTCTAAGGAGAGACTGTTCATGTTTGAAGGTTTTGCTTTGCATAAACAAGCCAAAAATCCTAGGTTATATATAAGGGGGGTTTTGGGTTTTAAAATTTCCTTTATTCATTACATGTGGTTTTTGCCATTTTGATAATAAAGACAAATATTTAAGGCAACCACAAATAAAAGCATTGAAAGAAAAAGAACAAGAGCAAGAAAAATTTTGATTTTCCTGTATTATAACTACTACAGCTCAAAGAGAAGCAGGAAACTTCATGATAAGAACTCCAGGTATGAAATACAGATATACTGCCTTGTCTCTAATACCACAGCATGTACCTGGTAGAACCATGGGAAGACTTGACCTTTAGGCTGGTAGCGACTATTCACAATACTCAAGAGGGTCTCTGTGACCATAGAAATCCAGCGTTTCATGGGAATAAAATCCGGTTCAGTCTGCAAAAATCAAGCGCAAATATTCATCATTCTTCTTTTCTTAAATCAAGTTCTACATAAACAGAAGCTCAGCTGCTGATGTTCCAGTTGTACTTCTTTGTGAATGAGGCTATTTTGTCATTTCTATGTACTGTAAGTAGCATGATATATACTTATCAATGCTGACTCTCCAGACACTACTTTTGATTAAGTATCATTCAGTGAAAACAAAAATTATGAGAAAAGAGGTTGTTTCAGTTTTCAGTGTCCATGGAATGACCTCTATCTCATTTGTCAAAACCAACAAATAAATGAGTTAGTCATTATGCGTCTTGTGATAAGGCACATTCACACTCTGGTCTGCTTTTGTATAGATCACACAGCAGCTACCAGATGGCATTCACTGAGCAGGGTGAAATTTGAACTTGAAAAGGTGAAGTACTTCACACCCACTTTCCAGCCCCCCAAACACCTGGTCTTATTACTTCATTATGTCCCACTAAGATAGGGACTCTCTCACAGATTGACTCACCTCAGGTACCCCTTCAGTGTCTGAAGAAAGGCTGCTTTCATATTTAGCTACAGCGACTGCAAGACTAGTTAAGGCAAAAATAGAGTTTCCTTTCACCACTGGACTGTCTCTGGAGAGAAAAAGGCGAATAGTTAAGAAATATAATAGAGATGCTAGTAGAAACACACATCTCAGAGCAGAAAAGTTATGCTACAGGTGGTCCAGGAGGCAAGGCCTTTGAACCCAGAGACTTTATTGGGCTGTCTTCTAGCTCAGCAAAAATCTATTGCATTTAGTCTTCAGGAATTCAAGAAGAATGGGGGAGAGAAGTGTTTCAGTCTTTTTTTTTTTTCTTGTCTGTCTTTTATATAAAGCCAAGCACACAAAAAGTTGTAAAAAACCAGAAGCTTCCTTCCACTATAATGAGGACTGCTATCCTGCAGAGCAAGTAGCACTCACAGAAATGCACCAGTTGTCTTAGCTAGTACCATCTCTACAGAGGGCACACCAAAAATCTTTTCTAATGGAGAATGCTAGAGAGGCAAGTGTCACTTCACTGCAACAGCATCAGGAGATTTAGCAGAGCAGCGATCCTTGAAATATCAGCTTTAAAGAAAAAAAAGTTTTGATTTATCTCCTTATGCTAAAAAAACATTAATATCATAGTAAATGATAGGTTTCAAAGAGTACTATCTTCTACAACAGTGCAAACTTTTAAGGAGCTCAAGAAAGAAAATCCACCATCAACAAGAGAGAATATAACTGTGTTCAGTTTCATAAAAAAATACAGGTTGATATCCCAGTCATTCCCAGCAAAACATACTGCAATATAATCCTGTCTTATTTGACAAAAGCAGCTGAACAATACAACTGTACTAGACCACTTACAGACCAGTACATCTTTTCATCAGTCTTCCGTTTCTAAAAACTTCAACTGCTGCTGTAAAAATACACCTATACTGCAATTTTGGGCATGTGTTCCAGATTCAAAAATCTCATTATCACAGAAAAATATCTTCTGGATTTCTAATTTTTAAAATAAGACACATGAGTCTTGGTGGAATGTTGTTGTTTGGAACACTGAAACTACTTCCTTTCAGGTAAGAGATACCTACAGATAATTTCAGCTAGGTACTTTAGTATTTTCAAGTCTTTCAGGAACTCTCACCTTAAATAATCTCCTAATTTATGTATCATCAACTCCTAAAAGGCTACATTTCATGATGTACCTCAAACAGAGAGAAACTTCTAAATCTACAAACTCATGAAAACTGGATGCTTTACATTTCATGAAGTTAAAAATCATCATCTTAACAAGATCCATGAGGAAAAAAGCAGTGTCTTACTCTTTACTGAAAATATGGGAAAAAAATAATCCACAATAATTTAGCAGTTCTTACTTGGAAGCACCTTTGATGACATTGGTCAACATATCTCTGACCCTGCAACAGAACAGAAAGAATTTACACCACATTTACTATACTATAGTATGAACTTAGCTAACTTCCACTTATGCCTTACATGTATCCATTCTAGGTTAACAATTCAGGCTATCTATCAGAACACTTAGCGCAAAAAAAAAATTACAAGCATTTAATCTGTAAAAATACTTATGTACCATCAAACATTTCTTCAAGCTCATGTGCACTCCCAGTGTTTATAAAGGGCTCTTATTTGACTTAGGACCACTTTTTGTAAAATGCTGGTTCATGCAATATCCATAAATCTGCTTTTGGAGCACATCAAACACATAAGTTTCCAGATCACTGTGCTATGTCTTAGCATAATAAAATCTGAATGTTTTACAATGGTCAACCATTACAATTTATTCAACACTAACTATATTTTGGAAACCTCTATGGGCAGTTACGCTATTAGGTATACATTAACCTGAACCTATTAAATGAAAGCCATAGGAGTAGTTACAATTTCTTACACCTTACTGTAGTTGATTTATAATAGGCTACTTGTTTGCAGCTGTGCACTCATATCTAGACAGAAGCAGAGATGCAATAAATCTCCTACATTGGCAGGTGTGGGTGAGGAGAGAGATCCTCTATACTACAACATTCAATACTATCATGGCCACAAATGTCATACAGAAAAAGACAACTCTTCAATCACAGTTCCATAACATGTGATTAGAAGACTGAAGATGCATGTCTCTTAAAACAGGGCTGTACGTTATAAGACTGAGTTACACTCGGGCTTTCAAAGAAACCTACCCAGGCTCTCCTTCCTAATCACACTGTTTTCGCATAGTGTCAAACCTACTCACACTAGAAGTATTTACAACTCAATAAATACCAATGCAGAATTGCACAGTACTTACACAATAAAGCATTAACACTAAAGTTTATATCAAGTTGTCCACAACTAGGTTAAATCCAGTGGGCAACAGAACTGCTTGATAGCTACTGAAGTTAGAGCTCTGAAGCTCTCTGAAGTGGGAACTGGAAAAGAAATAAAATCTAATACTCAGCTCCCAGTTCACTTACTGCTTTGATTTCTTTCCTGTTAAAGGGAATTCTCTTAATTTTTGACATAGCTTACATTAATACTATTTAGGAAATACAGAGCTGAAATTATTTTAGGAGAACCTACAAAAGAGAACCTACAGGAGAATCTACAAAAGCAGCATTGCTACAGGCATTCTTATACCCTATCAAGAAAGGGATCAGGCCACTAATACATAAAGAATCTTTTCTACAATACCATATCATTCTGGATCTTATGACGAACGCCTCTAATCCAGAATTAGCTGCCATAAAATAGACACAAATTTTGTATTCCTGTTGAGTGGGATTTAGTAACGCTTTTTTGACTGAAACAAAGAGCACTTTAGTTTTGTTTGTACATACTTTGTTCCCAATACACTGATGAATAAGCACAGAAACAGATACTTATACCGTCCATGGATATGTAGTTCTTTCTCTCTGTGAAGCCTCCCACTTCCTACCTTCTCCAAGCCATGCACGTACATGGCTAAATCCTGACAAACTGAGACACTTTTGACCTGACTGAAACAGAAGTAGTCGAGGATACGGATCAGGATGTGCATCATTGTGCTTCCTTCTAAATAATGGCCTCAAGTTCAATATGCCAATTTACCATATGAACTGTGTGTCAGTCCACCACAACATATATCATACTATGGCTTACACTTCTTGTATCAAGGCATCTTCAGTGAGACAGCTCATTAAAGTCTCAACAAGGAAATTTTTATCATAATATGTGCATAATCCTGCTTTAACATGCTACGAAACAAACAATTTTTTCCAGTTGCTCACTGGAAATAAACTTATAAAGTTTTCAGGCTCTGTAGAGGGGAAGGTACCTGTGAATCTGTGCATATGAGAATACTTACAGTTACCCAGTAGTCTTTCTGTCCACTCCCCTCCCCCACCAGGGTCACCGTATCTGGTAGTTGCTTGTTGATTTTTATTAGTGCTCATACAGTCTTCAAAATGTGCAAAATTAAAGACTTTGAAATCCTGCCCTCCTCTGTCCTCTCACTTGCCATTACAAGAGATCAGGACCAGACAGGCACTTCCTTACCACAGCCAGGCTGTAAATTGTTTGTACTGCACCTCTTCAGGATCCTCTTTTCCATGTTTTAACTGCATCTCCAGCTCTGCCTGCCTCCCCTGTAGAAATGCAGAATAAGTCAAAAGTGGATCTTACATGGCCAATCACCATAAGATTTCTTCAGAGAACACTCAGGTAACACATGTAGGTCTTAACCTGAGGGCTACTTCATAAGTGATCTCCACTTCTGGGTTCTCACTGTAATATACACTACATTAAGGAGAAAAATTCATCATTTTTTATTCTGAGTGATAAAAACAAGCTGCAAATGGCATAAACAGCCACAGATACTGAGGCATCTATCTAGTATGTGCAGAGACAAGTTCCCTTGGGAAGGGGTACAACAAGCATGGAATAAGCTTTAGAAGCCTGCCAGCTAAAATGGATTCTAACAGCAAAACATCACTTTCTTGATGCACTACTTAAAGCAGAATTACTTATCTCTTTCCTTTGTATGACTCCAACCTCCCTGTAACCTCCTACACCATTCTTTCTGTACATTTAAAGCGGTGATATGGATTCTGGTCTAACAATTGTTATCTAAACATATTAACCAACTTCGCTTTAACATTCCATCACCAATGTGGGACAACTACAACTCAACTTGTTTTGGTTGTCAGCTACTGCTCCTTAGTAGGTTATTAAGCCTTAAGTGAAAAATACAGGCAGATATGCTGTGTTTTATCAGCTATTGAACAGTTGTTGTTTGGGTGTACGTAACAACTTCAGAATACAATACAGTGAATCTTGTAAATTCAGATAACACTAAATAGGTGACTGTCCACCGAGATTAAAGGAGCATATACAACACACTGACTAAAAAGAAGGCAGTATAGCTGTTCAGAAATAGTGAATTATGTACTATCCAGACTACTCATCTTATATTGTAGTCTCTATTGGCCACCTTGGATGAAATGTACTATATAAGCCTAAAGAGGAAGTAGGGAACAAAAATAGCCTCTGTTTGTCCTGTAAAATGGCAAATTCTACAGATTCTTCAGAAACGAGCCTGGTAAATGCCAAACTTCTTGTGAAATCTTGTCTTGGAAGGGAAGTGAAATAGGAAAGTAATTAAATGCAAGCAACAATGTCCCCCAAGACCTAAAACTGCAATTTGAATAGCTGCTGCTTGCTTTGTAATGAGACTTGCTTAGTTTAGAATCTGGTATTTTGCTGATGGCCAAGACAAAATTTGTTTTGAAAATGTGACAGAAGCATACGTTTTGCTGCACAGCAGTCAAAACTTCTAGAATTCGCTCAGCAACCTGAGCTGGTTGCACTGAAAGCAGCTGATGTGGCCTGGAAATACAAACAAATAAGCCCTTTTAGTACCACAAAGAAAGCCTTCTGGAAGGCTATTTGCTAAAACTTTTTTACATAATTTTCCTGTTGAAAAAACAAATGATACTACATTGATCTAGGTATCAGGTCAGTTAACCTAATAAAAGAGAGAATTTGAGATATTTCCTAATCATTATCCAGGCTGACATAATTGGAAGACAAGCTATTACAGTGTGACAGCATTACCTGCTGATTAAGGGAAGTTCTTTTTAATGAATCATCCCTCGATAGGGATAGCCTCTACCCCCTATAGTAGCGGTACTACTATTACAAGCTTCCTACCCAAGCAGCAGATTAGAGTTCTAGCTAAAATTTCATCTTCTAAAAATTCTAAGAAATGACACATTCTGCAAGTTGACATAGGAACAAGCTGCATGAACCTGAATTGTAAACAAAAGTTATACTTCTACAAAGTATCCCAGATTGTACTGCCATTAAATGAACACTCATTTTTATTCTCTTTTCATAAATTTTATTATTAAACACCTCAAGGGTTTTTTTCCTCATATTTTTGTAACTTGTACAAGTGTTCTTGCTGGTAAAAATAAAACTCATACCACTTGAATAAGCATTAATGTACATAATATGATATACCTCAAAATTACCTGCAGGACTGCACTGTAGGTTCGACTCATAAATCCTAACCAGGACTGTGGCAGCAGTATGGAGCAGTGCCATTCAGAAGGTTGAATGTTAACCTGTGCAACACACCAGAAAGGTCAGAAGTGGTTAACATGAAGTCTAGCATATGCACATTCTACGTTCTCCAGTCTGTGATTTGCAGGCAATCATTCCCTCACTCCCACAGGCCATTACACATGGCTCTACGAAATTAAAATAGTAATGTACTTCATTCTCCTTTCTGATTTTACCCACACCAAGTTACTTTCAACTTCATTACCCAGCCCAGTCAAAATTGGTTGCTCCAGGTATTGCAACAATTACTTGAACCCAGAGGGAGCAGTGGACTGTATCTGGCAATAAGCACAACACTTAACACTGGCAAACGTTTCTTCATCATTTGTGAAAATGTTAGATACTTTTAAAGGCAGAACGGTTAACTAAGATAAAGATCTGCCTTTGCATAATTATTTTCCTAAGTCTTCCTGCTTCATCACCTCTATTTTACACCCCTCATGATCTGTACAAAGCAGTAAATATTCTTTCTTTACAGGGATTTTATAACAAAAAACAAAGGACAGTGTTAAAGCTTCATGCCCACTGCTAGCAGTGAACTTTAAAGACTTGTGAATAAGTACTAATACTTCCATACAAATAAAAGCATTCTAAAAGTCAACCAAGAGAGATTACCTACTCCACCCCACAGTTGATACAAATATGCCCTGCAATAAAAGAGGAAGTCTCATCTTTAAATGACACATTAACACTAGTCCTTTCTTTTTAGCCAAACTTTTCTTCACACACCCCTCTCATCTCTGCTTATCAATTCCTCCAAAAACTGATAAGCAATCAAGGTCCTAGTTAGAATTGCTTGCCTTGGGTTCCCAAGGAATCTGCAGCAAGTCGAGTCTTCCCCTTTGCCTCTACTCTCAAACTATTTTAGACTTCTACACCGTTTAGACTTGTGCTGGTCAACAGTCGGCTGAACGTGAGCCAGCAGTGTGCCCAGGTGGCCAAGAAGGCCAATGGCATCCTGGCTTGTATCAGAAAGAGTGTGGCCAGCAGGACCAGGGAAGTGATTGTTGTCCTGTACTCAGCACTGGGGATGTTGCACCTTGAATCCTGTGTTAAGTCCTGGGCTCAGAGAAGGGCCATGAAGTCAGTGAAGGGTCTGGAGCACTATGAGGAGTGGCTGAGGGAGCTGGGGTTGTTAAGCCTGGAGAAAAGGAGACTCAGGGGTGATCTTGCCACTCTCTACAACTACCTTAAAGGAGGTTGTGGCAAGGTGGGGGTCTGCCTCATCACTTGTTTTACACTGATACACAGCCAGCATAGGGCACACACAAAAAAATGCAGGTAACAGTGAAATTAAGCACATTTCTACCATTTCCTTGGGTATCTAATTGAGATAATACTGCTTAAAGAACCGAGAAACTACGATATTATTAGTATTTATGGCCTATCTTAAAATATGCAGTACAGCAGGGAGACTGGGAATCCTAGTATGTTCTTTTACAAAGTACAACAGATTTCCACCTTGATAGCCCTGCCAACTCACATAGTCCCTAAATTTAGTTCACCTCTAACAAACGTGTGTTCTTGAAAATGTGTTTTAAATACCTTTATGTCAGTTGAAATGTTTAGGCATGTATTTAAATGCCCCTCTCATATGGGACATGTAAAGTGCCATCTCAGTGATTTCATAAACAACACTGTCTGTATAAATGTAATAGTGAAGCAGCATCTCTTTTAATTTTCAACTTTGCTTAGAGGCTCTTTTTAACATACTTGCATGCGTACACTTCCAAATCCACCCCCCAACATTACTTTGTGAGAAAAAAATTGACTGTCTGTGTTTGAGGTGGAGTAGACTGAGGAGGAGAACAGCAAAAACCTGTCAACAAACTTAATTTCCGAATACTGTTTCATCACTGGAGGAAATACATTGAGTAAATTCAGTAGTAGAAATCAGCACAAAGTAGTTCATAATCTGAACTACATCCAGGCACTGAAATATCCAGGCACAGAAGAATACACTACAGTGAATTCTGTTCCAGAAAATCCAATTGCCTTATTTAGGGACTTCACATATTAGGTTTAAATAGTTCTTGAATATCCTGATTGCAACAAAACCGAACAAGAAAAGAAATGTACGGAAGAAGCTTTCCACTTGACTTCTCAAAGATGCATGTCATCACAGCATCTAATGAACATACTTAAAAAAAAAAGCAGGGAATGTTTCTTCCATGAGTATACAGAATGCCTAACATGATTATTACTTGTAGAGGAGTATTTAATACTGTACAACTCACCACTGGAACCCAACTTTGTAATTGTGTCTGTAAATATGACTCATCATTAGGGCAAAATAACTTGGAGCTATTTCGAATACATAGAAAGCACTTGAATATTGAGAAACATGCAAAGCCAAGACCATCCTCCTTCATTTAAAAAACAGCTGCACCAGTTCAGACTGTCAAAGCCACCATTTACCACATCAGTCTGCCAAAAGCAGTCTGCCTCTGTGCTTTTTGCATGTAGCATGAACAGTTGCCTTCACCTCCACTAGAGAACAAAAAGATGCGTAGCTGGCTGAAAGCCTAATTACTTTCCAAAACATACATTAAGAGAACCACCAAGACATATGGTACATAACGTGAACATATATGACTATTCATCCTCATTCATTTTCATAACAGATAAGCGAATCTGGTAAGAAATTATTCCTATCCATTCCTAGGAAGAATTAGTTCCAAAACCTGAAACAGTCACAGGTAATTATTAGCTAATCTAGTTCAGACGACTGTGATAAATTCCGAGACTTCTTGTACAGTAGGATCTAGGCAGCCGTAGAAAAAAAAGAAAACCCATGGTCTATAAAACTTCTGACCACTGTGACTACAGTAACTTAACATGTCCTCTCAGGGCAAGGTTAACAAGCTCTGTTTAATAATCTATCAAACAGCACATCCTTGTTTCTGGAGAATGATAATCTTCCTCTTTTAAGTCACCAGTGACCTCTAAAGAGCAATACAGCATTTCAAACATACCACATACAGCATACAGCATTTCATACATAACACAGATTATTTAACATATTTTCTTCTTCCCATGAGATAATAATGGCCAGTCTTCGCGAGCGAAGATTTGGGAAAGGTCATTAACCCTTCGAGCCTGCGCAGTGGATTTTTTAGGTGAGACACAGCGTGCGCTGAACTGAGCCCACCCTTTAATCCTGAGGTTCATCTGCTGGGGCCGAGCAAGCTTGGACAGTGGCAGTGAGGTCCCCAGGACGTAGGTTTGTTTAGAGTGACCTTCTCTTAGATGGATTGCCTTACAGGGCTGACGAGCTCCATCTGCCCGGGGGGCTGGGAATCGAACCCGGGTCGCAGCGGTGAGAGTCCTGCACCCTAACCACTAGACCACCAGAGATACCCATTCAAATAATAACAAAAAACTCTTCTGCATCTTAATCTGATGCTGCTGAGAGGTATTATAGATGCATCCAATTCCTCAGCTAGAACAGCAACTAGGAGATAAAATAAGTCTGGCCCATTAAGACTGAATATTAAGTTATCTTGTGCTGCTGTTATTGTTAGATTTGAATGGAAGCTAAACCCAAGTATTTGTTATTTGTATGTTACAAAGACTTTTAAATACACAAGAAAATCTTTCCTCTGCATACCTCATGTAACTCATTTTTTTGGTAGCAGGATCTCAGGCATCACAGTTTTATACATAAAGAATCTCAAAGGTGAAACAGATTTTCTCAAGCCCCTCATCATGCCCCCACTGTAAAAAACCCTAAGTTCAATAATGGCAACTAAGCATACAAAGATACAGACAGATATGCAATCTGTGGGTTCGTATTCTATTTGAGCATAGATCAAATCATTGAAAAGAGAAACGCTTTATAATCCCAGTATGGTGATGACTGCTCAGTCCTAACTAACAAAATGGCAACTGGTGGACATTTTTAGAGATAAAATAAATGAATGCCTGATATCTCCCAATTAATTGTATTTTCTTGATGTTTACATTAACCTCACACTTTATTCAGAGCTTTATGCTGAATTCAATGCTTCAAAGGTAACTTTAAGACTTCTTTTAAACAGAACACTTCTTGCTTTATTAAAAAGTCACTGTAAGTGTTAACCCATATCCACCCCACCCCCTAATAAAAGAGTCAAAACAGTAGCAAAAAAGTGTCATTCTGGTAATTTAACCCCCCTAAAAAATCTGTTTAATATGCTGTGTTGAACTCTGAAGAAATCACTTTACAAAAACACATTAATTCCTATAGCCACCGCAGGGAAAAGACAGGCCTCGTTCCTACTAACCCTATTTCCTTCTACCAGCGCTGCTATTTGGCAGCTTTATAGCTTAGGCTCTCTGGTTTTACTGTTAAACTCTGCTCCCCAGAGGAACACTGAGGACTAAGTAAATACTAAGGCATGAAACTTAGTCCGATGAGCCCAGGGACTGGCTTCTCATCTAGACAAAGGCCCAAACACCTTTTTTCTGACAACCCTGACTCCAACTGTCTCTATGTACTTGCTTTTTTTGCAAGAAAAAACTTTCTTTAAAAGCAGTGTAAACTAAGAACAGAAATACTGATTCTTGATCACGATTTTATAATTATTGTAGATTTTCACTAAAAGGGTGCAATTAGCACTGTCTGAAAATATTTTGTGTTTAAGTTTATATTTTAAACATATTTGGATTCATTTCTAGTTTTACTAGAAAATCAATTGACCTGGTAAAGTACTGAGATACTTAGTAAAATATTTCTGTCTCCAGCCATTGGTACATATTCACTAACTTTATCCAGTTCACCACATTCAATAAAACCCCCATATTTTGTCCAGCAAAGAATTTTAAGGCTGTGTTTCTATGAAGGTAGCTTGTTTGCACAAAAAAAGTCAATTTTTGATGTGCTGCTGGATTTTATAATCACTGTTAGTACATAAAAGTAAATTTATATTTTGTTTTCCAGAGATTTTATTTGGTGTTTTAGCAGGGCAACAGGCAAATGTTTATAACGTAGTTTAGAACTGATCCTTATCCCACTGTAATTCAACTCATATAAAACTTTCATACATGCCTTTTATTGTAACGCAATTAAATATGCTTTTCTCCAGAACCTCTGGTCCTGAACCCTGGTCCCACTGAATGAAGCAATTACATAAACCGCAAAGATCTTCTTTCTGGATACCGTGGAAGCCCCTGCTTCATTAATACCTCATTACTCTACATCTGTTCCCTTGACATACTCTGACATATCCCTGTGGAATTCCCCTGGTGCTCTCCACTGGACAACCAAACAGTTAGAAAACAATCTAAAACATTCATTTACACTCTTGTGATGATTATCTTCAGTTTCCGCTTTCATTCTTTAGCAGTAAAGATGTCAAGATGGAAAATACCTATTAAATCTGCATACACGGTTAGATACCTTGAGATCTGTGTTCAAAAGTGGTGTTTGGGTTTTTTATTTTTCTAGTTTAAGAGAAGAACTTGACATATGAAGTACGTCATAATCTCGCTGACACTGACTTTGTAACACAGCACCAGAGATGGATTTCTATACCCCAGTCCAACGAGTGCAGACTGGCTTTTGTCCTTGTACCACCTGGCTTAACTTCCACTGGGGTCCACATGGTATTTCTGTGTCCACAAGATATGATTATTACTTTTTGTGGTTCTTCAGTCCTGAAGGACCAGAATGACTATGCTATTGTATGGAAGGTAAAGATTCAATGTGTATGCTAGCAAATGGAAATGTTTGAGTGATGGTACAGAGTGGGAAGACTGCACTAGGCAGAAGCAGCCAATTTCAGCACGGCACACATTCACATCACTTGACTGGAAACTTCAGGTAAACTCTGCCACAGACAGGTTTGTTAGAGAAGGAACTGGCTTGCTTGCTTCAAAAAGACTGAAGAAGTTAACTAATATAATCACAGTGTGAACATGCAGGAAAAAGGACCTGAGAGCAAAGCCCAGAGAGAGCCTTGAAGATGCATCACAAGATCAGAACATAGCCCCTGCACATTATGCATGGTAGATGCATGTGTCCTGCATCAGACTTTCACTTTATAAACAGAAAACTCTTCAAGCCCTGTTTGCACAATCTTCCCACTCAAACCCCATGCTACACTTATTTCCTAATAGAAGGTGTTTGGTGGCAGTGATTTTACCAGCATCACAGAGGAACTTCAAAGAAGGTAAGCCCCATATATGTTGGGTGACAGTCACAAACCAAAATCAGGACTCAGATCACTGTCCCAGATTAATTTAATTAACCTCTACAGCAATATAAAATGATTGTATTAACAGAATTATTTTATGAACTTCTAAAGAGTTTAACACACTTCCACTTGTAGTAAAAACAGCTTTAATTGGCATAAAATTGTGAAAGGAACGCTTATTTCCCTGGATCCAGTTTAACTACTTGATTTTTTTTTTCTTTTACTGTTGTTCAAAATTTTCAAAGATCAGCTTTCGTATTAACCATAAAAGTATTGTAATTCTAAATTTTCTGAAAGATGCAAACTTTATTTTCCTTAATGATTAAGTGGGGGCTTATTTCATGCCCTTTTTCCAAAACCACCTCAAAAGTAACTGCATGATTTCAGCAGTGTAAGTGTAATAGGTCAGGGAGCTGAAACACTTAAGAGACAATAAAATAGCAAGTCTTAGCAAAGTGTAGATGTTGTTTCTCCATGGAGTCCCATCGTTGTTCAGACCTGCTATTCATCTACAATTGGTTACACACAACAGGTGTGTAACAGGCAGGAATAGTAGTCTGCAAGGCAGATAAAGACAAAGGTCACCTTGTGTTTGTTCTTCTGATTTTTAGAAGAGGCACTTTGAGAGTGAACATTAAAAAAAAAAGTATTCACACATTCAATTCAAGTTAGTGAAGCTGGGTGACCGTGGTGGCACTAGGTTGATGGTTGGACTTGATGATTCTAGTTGTCCCTCACAGGAAGCTTAGGTAATTATGATACATTCATACATGCCATTGCTACCTGATACCAATAGCTAATTAGGATAAACAAATGAGGGAAGAAGGTGTAATACCTTTGAAAAGTGAAGAAAAGCCAGCAACAACTTACCTCATGAATGAGGGCGACCAACATTTGCTGGAAACTGCGCCCTCTGCTAGCCAGAAATCTATTAATAGGCTTGCCATCTTTGCCCATATGGACTGGAAGGTCATAACACAGCAACATGCCAGCTTAAAGTGGGAGGGAAGGGGAAAAGAAAGGTCAATGCCAATACTTGCGCTAATAGTTCAGAAGTATGCAAGCATATCCAAGAAAGTCATAGCTTACCTGCAAGGCCTGGTGTCATGCCTGGTTGCCTGTTCCTCTCATACATTTTCAGCAAGAAGTTTGGAACACCTGCCACTGTCTTCCCCTGGTCTGAGCATGTCGTCCCTCCTCTCAAGGCAGAATGATACACACCACGGGGCATGTTGGTCATCTCCTGTTTCACCAGTGATGTTGCAAACTCTTCAAATGCTTGATGAAGTGCAGTGCAATGAAGAGAAAGGCAAGAGACTGTCAGAGCCTGATGATTGAGAGACATAACTAACCCTGGAAAACCCAATATGAAACCAGTGCTTCTTTCCCACTTCAACTTTATAGTGGAGCAGCAGTCTAAATTTGATGTTGTAGCAAGTGTACCTACATCCAGGGATTTTTTTCCTCCACCTGTAATTCCAATGAAGTGGGGATATAGCAATGCTGAAAATCAAGGGAGGCTGCTGAAAATAAGAAACATGAGGAATTCCAGTAAAAAACTACTTTATTCAAAGTTGACCTAAGTATTTTCAAGGCTGGGAAGGAAAACAGCTCTAACTATTCCATGAGCTCTTGACTGCATTCTTTTACTGATACACCAGTAACAGCAGCACATGCTGACAGATGGACAATGAAAAATAGAACTGATGTTGAGCAACACAGTGAAGAACACTGTCTCTAAAAACAGATTGTTCTTAAAGAGATTTAGAAGAAGCACAATGCAAAGAGGGTAGATGCAGAAGGAGTGTGTATGTGCAAATAGGGGATACAGATAGAAGTATGACCTCAATTTCTTTTAATATAGCAGTACAAATTTTTATTAGGTTCTGTGCTTTCAAGCTATGCATTTTATAGCCTAACCAGGTTTAAAATTATACAGAATTAATATCAAGTTATTGTCCATTTGCAAAGTCAATCTGAAGCAGCCCCTAGAGGTACACATTGGGAAAAACGGGTCATATTTCTGTATGTACATAGATATGACTGCATGGTGTTTGTTACCACATCACAACTGAGACCCGGGCCCCCTGGTGGTCTAGTGGTTAGGATGCAGCGCTCTTACTGCCGTGGCCCGGGTTCAATTCCCGGTCAGGGGACTTCCCCGGGCAGATGGAGCTCGTCAGCCCTGTAAGGCAATCCATCTAAGAGAAGGTCACTCTAAACAAACCTACGTCCTGAGGACCTCGCTGCCACCGTCCGAGCTCGCTCGGCCCCGGCAGATGATCTTTAGGATTAAAGGGTGGGCTCAGTTCAGCGCACGCTGTGTCTCACCTAAAACATCCACTGTGCAGGCTCGAAGGGTAAAGACCTTTCCCAAATCTTCGTTCGCGAAGACTGGCCATGACAACTGAGACCCAACACTGTACCAGCATATCTTGCAAACATGATAAGGCTCTTAGTGCTTTCACTACACAAATGAGTTTTAAGGGATTTATAAGAACTGTTACACATAAGGTTTGAAACTTTGGCCAATTTCATAAATCCCATGCAGTCCTGCTTTGCCTAGGAACTAGAAGCATTCATTCATCCTTTCCAAGCTCAAGAAACATCCATGTCATCTTGGAATAAAACAGTTGTATACTTAAACTTTCTCACACTTTGTATCTTCAGCAAGTTCCCTTGATTTTCAGCAATGTTCTTTCCCATTTGAACTCCATAGCGGAGTTGCAGCCTCAATCCAATATGTTTTTGTAGCCTGTCAGGAAGGGCATCTCATCTGGGGATCCTTTTTCTCCACCTATAATGCCAATACTCTTCAAACAAAACCTGCAGATGAATTTAGCAATTTTCACTACAGTGATAATAGACAGAAACTCTTTGTACCCAATCCTTTATTGGAAGAGTATATACTTATTGACATGAAAACACTACCCACCCACCTGTCTGTGATTTTCATAAAAAAACTTTTTTGTTTTGGGTAGCTACAATAGAAAAGAAATTCACTGCAAGTGGAAGTTATTTCTCTGCTGGAAACCATTCATATTGACAGAGACAACATAGTACAGGTAGCAGTATGTCATTGCTGTCATATTACTGCATTTACTGATTATGCCAAAGGACTTAATATTTCCAAGCTATTCAAAAGCAATTCTTCAGGTAAGACACAACCCAAAGCTCTAGACCAGCAGGTAAAACTCAAACTACAAAATCTGGATATGTTTAGTGAAACAACTAGATGTGCAGCAAATGCAAGAGTATTTTAATGCTTGAAATCAATCTGAAGGTAAAAAAAGACAACAAACATCACAGCAACAAAATTATTATTGTTATTAGTAGTAGTAGTAATAAAATCTCTTGTTAGTAGTAGTAACTAGTAGTTACTGCTAGTAACAACAACAACAACAATAATAATATCAAATTTATAGTCCTTTATTTTTAATTCTCTGACTACCAGGTTTGAGACACGTCTCAGGCATCCAGAATGAAAAACTACTAAACTAAAAAAATTAAGGCTGTTATAACCCTTCTGATATCCTGTGCACTCCAATGCTTCAAAACAATATGAAAACTGAAATCAGTTTTAAAGGAGTTTGAGAGAAAATGCTATCTAAAACTCCACTTTCCAACATTTCATATAAGCAGACAGCTATAGTAAACTGGAACTGCAGCATGTTCCAACTGTCATATAAAACTCTACTTTTAGTTTGCCTCTAATTTTTCCTCAGCTCTGTTGCAGAAATAGTCCCTATAGATTTGTTTGCAAGCTTAGACATTTTCCTCCCACACAGCTGAAGAAGGCACTTGGAAAAATCCCACAATTCAGTAATAAGGCACCAAGCCCACCTTTCAGTTGGAACTTTTTAACTGCAGCTGTCATAGCATTAATTGTTCAGCTCTTCATAAAGAAACATGCAGAGTCTGAAAAAAGCCTAAAGATTCTTCTCCTCCTGCAAGGATTAAAGGAGAGGGAGGCAACAGAAATAAGCAGGAATTCAAAGTTTAAAGAATCAATACAGAAAAGCAAAGAGGGAGCTCTCACAAGCAGCAAGCTAAACTTCCTTCAGAAGTTTCAGTTGATTCGATGTGCACTAAGAAGGACTTCAGGGAAAACTCAGAAACAGAGTTTGTTTTTTTAAAAAGCAGCTCAGTCCTACTCCTAAGCAGTAAGAAAGTACTGAACTAATCTCAATAATGTGTAACAGCAGGATTCCAGCAGATGAGATGACACAGATTCAGCTCCCATAGAACAGAGACTTCGTGGCTCTCAGGCCTGTCTTGGACAATGTCTCATGAATCCAGTTTCATACTCTTTCACTGGAGCAATTAAATCACAACAATCACTCCTGCCAGTCACTAAAGCTTTTGCTCAACTTTTGTTCTGCTCTGTGTTAACTATCAGCATTAGAAGACACCTCTTAAGGAGAAATTATTCCCTGAATGTCTGGATTCAAGCATATTTTGATACCAGTCTGTGGTAGCTGCATCTTTGTATTCATTCGGTTCACTTTAAAACCCATTTTGGCATCCCATCTTCCTAGGAAGTTGGCTATCTCAGCACTCATTGCTCAGCTTGCATTTTCTGTCAAGATACATCACTCTCCTTCATTGAAGTAAGTTATATCACTCTTCCCCACAAAGCTTCCAGGACTTAGTAGTTAGACTCTCCAGGTGAGGCTGCACATACTCTAGATGCCAATGCATGCAGAGTTTGATGAATGGATCTTTTTAGGATCCATTTAGGATCCCTTTTACTACTATCTCATGGCAATGTTTATAGGCTGCAATCACACATCAAGATCCCAGGCATTCTACTAAGAATTAAAGAACAATGCCTATGTCCCAGCACAACATCTCAATCTTGTAACTGGAAGTCAAAGTACTTTCAGCATTTCTGAAAGTAATCTAGTGAACAGCAAAACTCTCAAATACTGAAGGTGATTCAACTGCACAGGTTTCAGAACAAGTGCATCAACCAGCCATCTGTTGATGCATACTTCAATATCAATATGCATCCCTAAAATTAGGATTTAGGCATAGCACTAACATTTCATCAATTAAGCAGATTTTGTAAACAGTATTGTTTTCATGTCATTACTACTCTGTTTAAAAAACACTTTTTTACTTCAGTCTGTGCTGGGCTAAAATACAGAGCTGCCTTTTAAAACATCTGCTCATTCCTCTCTGTTGAAGCCATGGGTACTTGAAGTAAATAATATGAAACTGGCTTTCCCCGTAGGACAGATAAGAGTTTTTTAATTGCAAGCATTTTTCCCCATCATCAGGACCTCTGACACACCATCTTCCTAAAAATGGGTTAGGGGCTTTATTTTCCTCTGAACTTTTACATTTTTTTCTGTCATTTGTTAAGAAACAAACAAATAAAAAGGCAGCACTTTAATATGACACTTCATTATAAAAGAGCCACATGTCTGTACAGTTACTGTGATTATATATCTGCAAAGTAACCTCAAATACTGGATATATTATACCTCCTAAAACAGAAGTTGGTGTTAGAGACAACAGCTTGATATATGAAGAACCTGGAACAAAAAGATTTGCCTCCTGCTCCTCTTCATCTTCATTCATGTCTGTTTCCTTCAGCAAGTAACCTTCTGGTCGTGCCTGCAGGATTTAACAAAAACTAAATGTCAGCACAAAGATTCCAAATCCTCATTACCATTCATGATTCCAAGAGTCAAAAATACCAGCTAAATATGAAAAGTTCCCCATTTCATTAATTTAACTCCATTTTACTAATTTGAAGCTGACTGAATAAAAGCTTCTACCTTACTGAAAGGCAACAGCAGTGGAGAAAAATCACAGGGTATGTAAATCCACATCAGTAATAGTAAAATTTATCTTGGCACTTACAGACTGAACTAAAATTCATAAAATTTTATTCTCACTCTGATTCTTCTTCAATTTAACAATGTTTTATACTGGTACTTCAATATACATAGAACATTTTTGCTAGATGTTATTTTTACATACTAGTTTTTAGAATCTGAAAAACTGCAACATATTTACACTGCTTTCAGTTAAAGCATACTTACTCATTTTCTAATGAGTGTAAAGTAAATTACCAACAATGCAGAACTATGTACTACTGTGAAAGATTTAGTATTGCAGCAGTGTTTAGACATTTCCCTCATTCTATCTCATGGTCTTCTATGTAAAATATATGTAAAATATAATTTCATAATTCAGGTTTATGCTGAAATCTTCTAATGAATTTATATAAATTATTCTTTTTAATTTTAAAATTGTTTATTGCAACCTTCTCATAACAGACAGTTGCAATATGCAAATGGTGCCTATCTTGAAAATAAAACCTTACAGAAGTATATACTATGCCATAAAGTACCAATGTACTACTGAGTAGTGCCTAGTCTCTTGTACAACATTACTTTAAAGAAAAGTCACATAGATGATCTTATGCTCATCTCCTTGTACTCCTTCATTTTGTAAGGTTACTGAGTCAACTGACCAGAAGTTTCAGAGTTTAACAGCAGTCTACATACTTAAATAGCTTTCGAATAAATACCTCAATTCCTTTCTGACTTACTTCATGGACAAAAAAGCAAAATGTTATACAGTAAAAGTTCAGAACAAAAACACATGAAAACTTTTCAGCTTAATTCCAAAAACAGCACCCATTTTTCAAATTGACTTACCCATCTCAGGAACAAAAGCACTAAGTGTAAGTATACTGCAATGGATGAAGCACCAATCACAAGATCTGCTTAGTTAAGCATCAATAGAAGACCATAAAATCCCCAAAACCTGATGATTTAACTAACAAAATAACTGCTAAGACCTCATTGAGCTTCATTTGTGCCTTTTCCTGCTCATCAAGACAATACTATCTCATTTCACGAGCAGGAGCTTGTATTCCTCTATGAGGTTCTTCTAGTTGTCTGATGGAGAAGGCACATGGCCTTTATATCCCTTTCAAGAGGATATAACACGTCAGATGGAGGTGTCAGATGTCCTTACTATTTAAACATACAATATGGCTACCTGTTCAGGAAGATGAAGAATTGTATGTTCTTCAGAGCCAAATGATGACAGTGATTTATAGGCTGAAATGGCTACCAGAGCATCCTAGAAAATTAATAATAAGAAAAAGAAGATCAGAAACACAGCATATGCTATTGCTACCTACTGGAAACTCCACATACAAAGAGCTTATCAAGTAACTACTGCATGCTGATAAAAAAAGCCATAACAATGTTTTTCTGAAGCACACTCTCAATTGCTTACTTTATATATACACAATGCAAAGTAGGAAGACCAATTATCTAGGCTTCATAGCGAGCATTCTGAGGGTATTTCAGGCAGAAATATACAAGCTGCATTTAAACTAAAACACACTAGTTCCACCAGCCCCACGGTGGTTTATAGTCAAACATTCCCACTGCACTACAATACTCTACAAAAGAATTGAGTTAGTTGTCACAGCAGCATCTTTGTCAAGAATGCTTCACCATGTTGAGGTTGAAATCTTCCAGGGGAAGTCAAACTAGTTTGTGTTATAATTCTCCTTGGCAGATGTTAGGATCATCTTTCATGTGCAGTACACTGCTTCAAAAACAGTGTTAAATGGCCAGCAACAAGCAGAAAACCCTATTCGGAAATGAGATTACTGACACTGTCTTGACAGAAAAGTACAAAACTTAATGTCCAGTTGCTGACATCAGAAATCAACATTTTCAGTTGTATCACCTACCTTGTTCTGTGTGTTGTTCCAGAGGAAGCTGATAACTTGGGCTTTGAATTTCTAAAAAAGAAAACAAAATATGCATTTATGTTTTCTTTAGCTAAATAAGCAGTTGAAATAGGGGCAGTTACCTGAAACAAACTGCTGCCACATCAACATGCATTGAGCTATAAAAAAGGGTACAGGTTTGAACTCCAGACATGTTCACCTGTCCTCATATTCTGGGAGAGGGAAACCACAGATTAACCTTGCACTGGAATTCCTTACATATTTCCCAGGACTCACTAATGCAAGCAAAAATTGTGAAACTGTATGGAATGTGCATTATGATAAATTAAAAACAAGCAGGCTCATTCAAAAGCTATATACAAAGATATAATAAAAGAAACACTCACCTTAGTCCATGAGTACATACCTCAAATTCATTTGTATTCACTGTTAATGAGGGAACCAGGGCAAACAATTCATTCAGAGCTTTTAAAATGAGGGGTCTTGTATCACAACTCAGCTTTGGCGACAGCGCACTCCATGTAGAACGGATGCAAACAACCTGAAAGGAAAGTGGGAGACATCATTACTAACAGCAATCTCAACTCAACTTAAAATGTCTTTCCAGTGCTTGTCCTCACTCTTCCTACTTGGAGAACAGGAATATAGTTCATAAACATAAAAATAGCATGCATGTTAAAAATTCACTTGTTTATCAATTGACATAAGGCAGTAAATACTGCATAATACTTCACCAGAGAAAGCACCTCTCAGTAGGAATATGGAATATTATCTGTTATGCAAAATTATATGTTAGCAATATGCAAAGCTGTAGTAGATGTATCTTCACACAACACTACTGCTCTACTTAACTTTGTCAAATTAGCTTAAAAGCAAGCTGTCTCTCAGAATCCAACAGGAGGAAAGCAGAGGAAGCATCAGAGTAAAATATTTCCCCTGGAAGCCCTCCAAATGAAATTGCTTTAATCTTTAAAAACAGTCAAAGCCAACAAAATTTGCAGAACAAATGAAAAGTGTAAAACTTCAGGAATCCAGAAGTCATTGGAAACTGTCAAACTACAATAAACACTAAACACTAATTCCTAATACTGAACTGCTATCTAGCTATTCAGAACAACTTTTATAAAAGCAAAAATAATGAATAAACATTTACACTATATCTACAGCACAGTAGTGCTACATAATCGGTCCTACATAGCTCTTCCTGGGTACAACACGGGCCTCACTCAGCTTATTTTCACCTTTAAAGATCTGTATGACAGCTCAACAAGCACTCAGTACATTTTGTATTTCTAGGCACTGAAAAAAGTCTGGAAGATGATCAGTCAATGGTACAGTTCTAACTGTGGAATTGTACAGAATTCACAAAAAGCAGTCAAGTCCCACAGGAATGTTGACTAGAGAGCATTATTGGCACTAAAACTTTCTCCTTTTTTCCGTGAGATTTTTTCAGTTGCCTGTGCTTTCTCTTCGTAAGGAACCATGTATTTTAGTGAAAAATTAAGTAATTTCCATGCAGTATTTCATCAAACCTCATGTGGCTACCTGTGGAGGACTTAACTTTTCAGATTTTTGTCACCACACCTAGAATAATTCTGTCTATAATTTATCTGTTGTTACTATCTGTCTTTCAGATTTCAGGCTCCACAGCAACAAAAAGAGTACTAAACAGTGAAAAGATACAAAACAAATAAACAACCCCCTTCCCAACAAATAAAACCAAAAACCCCAAGAAACTACTTCTCTCTTCACCCCACTCCCATCCACCCCCCAAAACTCAGTCTTTTAAAGGGAAAAACATACCAGAACCGCAAATCAAAACACTTCTTTAAACAATCTGAGCAAATGCCATGAAAGTTTCTTTCAGCTGTATGAAATTAAAACAAAGCAACAAAAAACCAAGACATAGAGAAACAGAAATTGATCTATGAAAGGAAATCAAATAAAGATATGTTTATGAAGATATTCCACAAAGGCACTAAGAAGGATAGTATTATTCTGCACTGAAAAAACAGAACGCTTGGTATCCCTGAGTGCAGGTAATTGTCAAATTAAGCAGTCACTTAAGTGCCTGCAAAACACATTTTAGAGTGCAGTTTAAAAAGGTGAATCCATTTCAAGTTGAATCCATTTCAAGAATAGCAAACCCATTAGTGTGTTTCTATGGTAACGATCACTGACAGATAGAAAGACCTCATCTAATAAATTCCAAGTGAAAATGATACCTCTCTTTCCCTCCTTTCAAAACACACTGTTTGCAAGGATAAGAAAAAAGCTCTTCCAGTGTTCAGAAAGACAGACGTACCTATTAGCACTTACTAAACTATCTAGAAATATTAAGTTTGTAATAAGTCAGTTCTCTGGAAAGAGAAAATACACCGTATTAATATGTGGAGAAACAAAGTTGTATATTCATGGGGTCCCATCTGATATGGTAATTTAGGAAGACTAACAAATTATTAGCCAGCCAATAAAGTTCCAATTCATTCTCCAACTTCAGCTAACAGGTAAAAAAAAGGCCATAAAAAAAAATCACCAGCATTCTAACAGAAGTTTCAGATTTATCAGATATGCATACCACACAGATGAAGCTAGTGAAATCTAAAGGAACAACATACATCAAATGCCTTTTATCAACTACATTGAAACAACATATTGGCTTTAGACCACGCATATTTGGTATGCCAAAAACACTGGCCTTTCATTAAATCATGCATAATCAATAGTGTTACTATAATCATGATACCTTATACAGTATTCAACTGACAATTGTTTTCCACACATATCACATAAGCATCATACAAACTAAGTACAGTATCACTGCCATACAGGATCTACTACTTCGCTGACTAAATGGTATTTCAGTGTTTTTGTCAACATCAAAATATTTTCACTACAGAATCAATTTTAACAATTTTCCTTTCTTTCACAAACAGAAAGGATTTATTTTCTTTACTGCATGTAAAAAGCATTCATACTAATAGAAAAGATTATAGTAAAATTCTACTGATTTGAAATCTCTTGATATATGTCTTTTTTTGAGAAGTGGAAGTCCAGCAGAAATTCAATTTTTCTACTGTCTAAAGGAAACAGCTTGAGTTTCCAAATGCTAAACATTTTATTGAAGGGTATAGGCATCACTTAGAAGAGATTCGGTTTTTGTCTTAGTTAAAGTAGTGCAGCTTGGAATACACCACAACTTAAAAAAATTTTGCTGCACACTGATAAAAAGGAGAATTTATAGTATGTCTCACCTGTCCAAATGCTGCTGACAACTAAATACTTGGTCTTGAAGTGATCTCGTATGACTTCAGACATATTTGGGCAATAACCCAAATAAACGTGGTGAATTGATCTGAAGAAGGAAGATGGCTAAACATCATCTGGTGCACAATAAGTACAAAAGCTAGAGGATATTAAAGCCATCACTGAGCACAGAAGTGCAATTTGGCATTAACGGCCTTCACCCTCAATTGCTGCAACACTTAAGTTCCTTTAAAAATATACTTTTTTAATGCCTAAAAACTTACGACTGCACAATTCCTTTCAGAAGGTATTTTCTAGACTTGCAACATAATAGCAGTCCTACAGAAAAATCCTTCCAATGTGAACCAATGGAGTAGAGGGATCAAAAGAGTGGGAGGCTGATAATTCACACACCATAAACAAACACAGTAAATAAAAAAAGGTTATAAAAGCAGTAACAACCTTGACATGATGTCTTTCTGGAGGAACGGGCAACTGCGATAAATATCTTGTGATCAAGTTTATCTGCTAGTCATGAATCCCCAAAGAAAAGCCCTGTAATTCCAGATGCACTGCTCAGCTTCACAAAGCTGTCCTCTGAAAATGCAAACCACTCTAGAAAACTAGCAAGATAAGAAACTTTACAACACTGGTATGCCAATTACTATCTGAAAAAAAAAAGAATCAATGCTAATCAGAAAATGTACCTTCACAGATCTAGACACACTAGTGTCCTACTTTGATAAGTGTGTTTTCATCTTTTTGTTCTTTGTGGTTTTTTTTCATTCTGTATTTGTTCAGAATAAGATGATATTGCCATCTGGAGACATTACAACCACACAGTGCTTTTGGTACAGTACATTTTGGTTTACATTTGTGTTTTCTTGTTATTCAAAATTTATTTTAAAATAGCAAGCTTGCCACTACACAAAGCACTGACTGCTAGATGGGAAAAACCCAAAGCTAAGTTTTACAGATGTCTAGGAAACACAAAGCAGGTTTCAGGTGACCTACTACTCTAAAAGGGTCAGAAATCTTGGGGAAAAAAGTGAGGAACAACAACATTTAAACCAATATGATTGGTGGGGGAAAGAGCAAGTACAATACTGAGCCAGTATTTCCTCTGAGACAAATATCTGTTCATACCATATCTCAGCAAGGTTGGTGCACAAAGTTTATCACAGAATCCTACATTCAGACAAATACTTAGGTTGGAACGGACCTCTGCAGGTCACCTAGCTCAGCCTAACTCTCGAAGGAAGGCCAACTGATTAGGTTACGCAGGGACTACTTAATTTGCTTTTTAAGAAGAAATGGTGGCTTTAACAGTTGTAAGATAATAGGTGCAAAAAATATTTGTAACTTCTCTTTGCCCAATCAGAATACTTTCAGAATAAGGAACTGCAACAAAACCCACCTGACCCATCCTGTACTGCAGAGTGTTACACATGCCAGCCAGCTACAGAAATACCTGCAACTTGCAGAAAGCAAAGGGCATACCATCACTTTGCTAAGTGCTACACACTGCGACTGACCAATAAACCTCTACAATGAAAGAAGGTTCACATGGGCAAAGATTATGTGCTCATGAAGCTCAGACAATAACACAGGCTGAGATTGACCACAGCTTTTGCAAAGAAAGCTCAACACAACACAACTCAACACAAAAAAGACCTTTCTTTTAGAATACAGCTATAAACAGTTTGGTGGCTCTCAAGCTACAGGCCTGAGCTAGCTTCAACCCACATACTGCTTCCTGGGTACTGGGGATGCTCAGCATCATGACAGTGAGCAGATAATAGAGACCAGCAATGGGAATCACATTGGTATTGTGACTGAACTCTACACCTCAGTTGCTATATTTTGCGAAGTGTAACTTATATTTGTATTGTGATTTTGCTATATTTTGTATTGCTCTGCTGAATTAGAAATTCTGTGTAACAACTATCTTCAAATAAGTAAGTTTGATATTATACATTACATCCCTCATGCACAGAATATCTAAAATAACCTGGTCAGAGAGTATTGAACTCTGACACACACTGTGATTATTATAAATTATGCTGCTTGCCCCATGAATTTAGTGGATAAATATGATCTAGAAACAATTTAGAGTAAATAAACCATCTTCTCTTCAAAACACATTTTGCCCAATATGCCAAAACCAGCTGACATGACAAAGTGATCGTGCCACAGAGGCAGAAAGAAGCGCTGCTATTAATCCTGAGGATTAACAGCCAAATCACTCCTCAATGCCATTTTCACAGAAAAATAGTTTGGTCATGATTGTTATGTCTACAGAGTATGTACTCATTCAAATGCAAAGTGCTTACACTGAAATTTCAGCTACAAAATGGAAATTGTTTTTGTGGACTACACGAGCAGCTGTCCAGTTTATGCTAACAGATTTTAAGTACTTGGAGCACAGATTTGCTTAATTTATTTTGTGTCTTCAAAACAGGCCAGTAACGTTCCTAGTCAACTTATTTTACTAACTCATTCCATCCAGGGAAAAACCCTTACCTATACAGAATTCATCCTGGGAGTCTGGCAGCTCCCTTCAACTGCAGATCTTTACAGGTAAGGAACTGTGCCCACATTACTGGCTAAAGAGTTCAGACAGAAATTATGATGTTAACTATATACAAGACCAATGATATAAAGTAAGTCAAAAAGAGAACAAGGAGTACATCAGACCTGAGAAAGAGAAACTGGCAGAGACTTGAGCCCAAGAAGTAATGATACTCTGATTGTGTCTCAACACAAACCCACCATTTCAACAGTACAGTTTTCAAATGTACACTGTTTAAACAACATTCAGCTTTGTAATTCCTTCAAAATGTCAGTCATCATTATTTGTTCTCGCAAACTTTCCAATTCATTATATTACTCTGATATGCTGGTTTCTTTCTGATCAGTATAACAAATAGATATGGAGTTAGGGAATAAACAGTAAGAAACCACTTCCTCAAAAAGCCTGGAAAGGGGATTTAAATACTATACTTAACAATTTTATTCTTGAATGTTTCTTGGTTGGCACATTGTACTCGATACATTAAATCAATTAGGTGCCAGAATAGATAGCCTCATATGAAGTAAATTGGCTTCTGTTGAAATCACTGGGGAAAAAAACAAACTATATGCCAAGAAATAGGAAATGTGGTCTGGCAAGAACTGTGTGTATTTTAATCTTTGATGTGCAAGTCACTGTGCACTATTCATTAAAGACCCTTTCTTATACCTACCAAAAAAATCCCCCAAAAAGAGAGGGGTGGGGGGATCATCTAGCCCTTCTTATAAGTCCTACGAAAGCTAAGCTTACGCTCTTAACACTATTCACATAGGATGCAGTTTGTGTAAAGCTGTTACCTTTATACAAAACAATTACTGTAGTCTACAAAATGGAAAACTATTCTTCCATAACAGTCAACCGAAAAATGTTACAGTACATTTTATTATAGCATTGCTTTTATGAAAGAGTCTGAGACACTCAGAACTTAACTGTGACAAAGCCACATGGTGTATACGGTTCCATCATGAACTAAGTCAACACTAAATATATGAAAACATAATTTATTATTCTAGTGCAGAAGCTGACTGAAAATTAGGTGCTCTCTAAAATTCTACATCTAAGCAACTGTACATGAGAGATTAGATCCCCTTCCCTTAAGTCAGTGGCAGAAACAGAAAACTCCAAAACAAAATCAATCTCTATAATTATGTCCTTTCTGCACTGCAAACTGGAGTCTAAATATTAAATAAGGGACAGACTACATTACTCAACCCAAATGGTTACCCAGCTTACCAAACCACAAAAGAACTCTCTGTTAAAGTTTCAGCATAGTTAGGTGGCAGGTCTGGTCTCCCAGAACATTACAATATAATGGGGGAAACAAAGCAAATTGAGGAGGGTCCATAAGAATTTCGACAGGAAAAACTGGTACCACTCCACAAAGTGATTCTTTCCTTCTTTTCTTTCTTCCATCCCAAGTACCTGGGGTTGTTTTAGTCTTCCAGTTCTCAACAGTGGTACAGTACATCTATTCTCAAATGAGGCTATTATAGTAAGACGTGACACCTGTCATACACCTAACTCCTGCTTTTTTGCAGGACAAAGTCCAAATATAATCCATCCTGGGAAAACAGTGTTTCAATACCAAAACTAGTAGTGATATAATCTATGTGACCTTAAGAAGAGCCAAACTCCACACCAAAAGCAAAGCAAACAAAAAACTACCATTAAGAAGTTGTTTCTTAGTAGTCATTGCCTGAAGATTTTTAACTATATTGAATACTAATGCCTATAGACTGCTGATGATTCACTATGTTGTTTCTGAACCACCGAATGTTTTCAAAGGAATAATGTGGTAATGGCTGGATTTTGTTGGATTGGCCTCACTCTACTGAAAGCGAATTAGTGGATAAATTTAAAATTGCAGTTTGGCAGAGAAATCAAATATTCTTGCAGGATATAATTAGTCCACTAATTCTGATGGCCTGTGTAGTATGCAGTTTGTCAACAGTGTGATTCGCAGCATATCTATGCTTGCATGATGATGTCTGGGATGTCACTGCGGAAACAAAGAGCCTTGAATCCTCACTCACGGATATCACAGCATCACAGTACAATCTGGGTTGGAAGAGACTTCAGGATATTTCTAGTCCAACTTCCTGCTCAAAGCAGTGTTACTACAAGATCAGATCCAGTTGCTCAGGGTTGTATCCAAAAGGAATGTGAAAATCTCCAGGGATGGACAATCTCTCCGGGCAGCATGTTCTAATGCTTACTTGTCCTTTTCATTAGTAAGTAATGAATGCTTTATAGTAAAACAGAAGCCTTGCAGCTGCAAGTGATTTCACTCCCTATCTGGTACACTCTATGAATGAGACCCAGCAGGGCAGGCCAGTAAGGAGATAAAAAAATTACATGATTTGCATACTTTTTGGCTAATCAGAATTATGTGCCCACAATCTTGCTTTTCAAATCTCAAAGAAAGACGCATGGAGGGATGTCTTCGAAACAAATTGTGAAGCTCTGAAGGGCTGACCTCCTGTGGTAGAAGTTCACTGTACAGTTTCCCAGGAACTACTAACTTATGTTGGAAGAGAGGAATTAAATTTGTCTGAAGAAAAGGAAATTGTGCAACAATCCAAAGTACTCTTTAAAAAGCCAACTGGGAAAAAAGCCCATGAACCACAAGCAAAACACAAAACACAGGGACAAGCCAATTTAATCTTACCTCAGCCTCACAAAGTGCCTGGAGACCCTGTAGTACTATGGCAGCCGGTGAAGCTTGATCAGGTTTTGTGCATTCATTTAATACCTGGGAAATTGCAGCCAACATGTCTGCTCCATGCTGGTATGGTCTAAAGGAAAAAACATGAAGATAGAAGGCAATATTCCTGTATACACACAAGTTGTAACCTATACACACAAGTTGTAACCTATACACAAAAATTCATTAAGTGCAGTTTTTGTTTATGTGACAATTAAACCAGTCTAAAAGTGGGAGGAAAAAAAACAAACAAGGAGGATATGACAGACAGCTCTAAAGGCTAAGTGACACAAAGAATTAAATCAGCAGGCACCAAGTTCCAAATATAAGATCAGCAAGTGGTTAAGTTATGGAAGTTTTTGTCCAAGCATGTTGTGTATGCCAAAAGATTATATCATTGAAGAAGTGACTAAGAATGAAAATGTGCTATTCTTTGCTGCAGTCTTCTGCAAGTAGTCACTACTGTGTATTGGTGGAGATTTTGGCACCAAAAGCCTTTTGTACTTCTTACATCAGATAGCTACGTTTTTCCATTTCTTTTTTTTGCTGTAACGTCATTTGTCTCGCCTTCAATTGCCTGCATGGGGCTGCTTGTTAGCCTTTCAGTCTTTTATTATCCATTCAGCTTTTTGGGTTGTGATGGTGGAAGTGTCAAGTGCTGATTCAGCAATGCCTCATACTATTTCTGTAAGAGTTTGCAGTCAATAGCACCTGGCTAGGTGATTCATACGCATAGAACATTCTGACTTATTCCATTTGTTCTCATTTTCTTCCAAACAATTTCTAAATGCACAAAGAATGTGCATACGTCTGAACTCTAACTATACCACTTACCAGGCAAAAAGAATATTACAAATGCATTGAGATTTCTCTCTTGCTTTTCAGCCTTTAAAAATTTCTTGAAAGATGTTGTTTGGCAAAATTGAAGAGGGTTGAAGAGGTAAAGGAAAGGGTATTGTCTTTAATAGCTTGCTTTTTAGTTGATGATTAAAAGATACACGAATCTTCTCAGCTGTAACTGACCTTCAAGAAGGAAAGTGAAAACTGGAACCCAAGATAGATGACAAAGGGAAAAGATGATATTGTGCACATAAAACCAGAAACTAAATACTAATGCATTTTAAAAAAATCTTTACAGAAACTGCAAATTATTATCAAGTACTGATATTCATGGATTGTTAGAGCTGGAAAGGTTCAATATATCATCCTGTTAGACTTGCACAATGGTGTTCTGTGGTACCATATCTGAATAAAGACCAGAAATGTGCGCATGTTACAAAATGTGCTTTTCAAAAAAAACACCCAATCTTTCTCTGAATAGATCAAAAAATACACTATTAGTTGTTTCTTCCATTGTTTTATCTCTCCCTTTTTTCTAATTTGGAAGTGTTATGCCTAAAGTTTCTACCCTGGATCAGTACAGGATACATGTTTTGTTTCAGGATGAAGAACATTTAATTTTCACAGCATGTATATGTGCTTTCTATTAGTCATAATAGAAAACTCCAAACTTACTAGCTGTTCAGATTAAGAGTGGCTGAGTCTGTGTCTCAACTAGGAAAATATTACTATTAATGTCACAAATGTAGGTAAAAATTATTATGCAGCTTTTCTGACAAAAAATTGCTTTCCCTTACAAAGACATATGATGGGTAACACTTGCACTTACCTCTGCCTACATATATCTCTTATACAAGCGGCTTTAGCAATCAGCTTTTCCCACTGAGCATCTTTGTCAACAGACACAGATGGCATGTCAGATGTCGCCAAGAACTTCAGCAACTCTGGGTAAATTCGGTCCTAGAAAAGATTCAATCTAAAAATTATCATCATACCTTCAAAACGATTTTCAATTGGCAACACTTCTACATGACTTATAAATACCACTTTTATTGTATAACATATTTTGCTTTTCTTCATTATTGGAATCTACCTGGTTTTTGCAGACCAAATCTATATTGCTATTTAAAAAAAACATGAGAAGGAAATTATTGTTATATAACCTGCGCTGGTTTTGGCTGGGGTAGAGTTAATTTTCTTCACTGTGGCTCCTATGGGGCTGTGTTTTGGATTTGTGCCAAACACAGGGTTGATAATATAAAGATGTTTTAGTTATTGTTTAGCAGGGCTTACACAGAGCCAGGGCCTTTTCTGCTTTTTGTACTGCCATGCTGGCAAGGAAGTTGGGGGTGCATGGGAAACTGGGAGGAGACAGAGCCGGGATAGGTGACCCCAACCGATCAGAAGAATATTCCAGACCATATGAAATCATGCTCAGTTTATAAAGTGAGGGGAAGAAGAAGGAAGTGAGGGAGTGTTTGGAGTGATGGCGTTTGTCTTCCCAAGTCAGAGTTATATGTGATGGGGCACTGCTCTCCTGGAAATGGTTGAACACCTGCCCACCCATGGAAGCAGTGAATTAACTTGTTTCACTTTGCTTGTGTGCATGGCTTTTGCTTTCCCTATTAAACTGTCTTTATCTTAACCCATGAGTTTTCTGGCTCTTACCCTTCTGATTCTCTCCCCAGTCCTGCTGATGGGGGAGTGAGTGAGTGACTGTGTGGTACTTGGCTGCTGGCTGGGGTTAAGCCACAATACTAAGGTCTTGTTCTTACTGAATATTATGAAAAGCAGAAAGCTGCCCTTCAAAAAAATTTTCTTTCTAATTCCAGCCTGAGACCTCATGAAATGAAAGTTTCATGAAAGACATACTATGAAATTTTTCACTAGAACAAAATCAGTATAGGCACTACTTACACCATTTACTTTATAGTCCTGATAATGACATACTAGTATAAGCAATGATCCAAAATTAATTTCCTTCCTTGTTTAGAGGTAATGAAGTTTTTCAACTGGACTTATTATATTGAATAAGTAAAATAACTATATTCACTATGTAATAGTGAATAATTACAAGAATTTTCTAACCTGTCTTTCCCACAGTGACGTCATCAGCCGTGAAGCAATTGCTCTGAGCTTTGGTGTGCTCCCCAGCATGTGTATGGCACGTAGAATCTGAGCTACACAAACCTGAAAGAAATTTTTTAACCAAGTGTCACTGTTATTTTATATGCCCAAGGACAAAGTCTAATCTACAAATAATTATTTTACAACCAAGTACAACAAGGAGGTAATTGTCCAACTGCAATGTCAGAAATAAACTGGAAGTTGTTTTCCAAAAAACTTTAGAACATAATGAGTCCAAGGGCATCTATCTTCTCATGACATATATAATGATGATACAGTATAGACAGTAAAGCATAATGTACGTTTCACTCTAAAACAAATATCAGAACCCTTCCAAGTACTACAAAGTTGCGGTGAAGCTTAAAAATCAGTTAAGCAAGCCATGTATTGCTTAGTCTAATTTTTTTTTTAATAAATAAATGACCTTTCATTGATACAGTTTTCATTTCACTAAAAATTTTTCATTCTGACCTTGTGTACACCAAGTGTAGGCAATGTATACAATATATCCCTGTAAAGTGCAGGCTCCAAAGGTCTTCCCAATTTAAATACCAGAACTGGGATAAGATTTGGAACCTAAAATAAAACAAACACAGGACATAAATTGGAATTTGTCAACATGACACCTTACATAAGACAGTGAACTTGTCAGAACATACCAGCAGGTCCTACAGTTTTTGTTTGTGTACCTTCTTACCACTATGTGATTAAACCTAATCTTAAATTAAATCTACTCATGATTTCCCACAGTACTTCTTTCTTTTGCCAGAGGCAGTCTTGGGCAACTCTATTTCATCTTATGCTAGTTCTCTAGTCAACAGGCTACTTCCTGCATTCTTCTACATTGTAGCTACATTGGATGACACATATGGCAATCAGACCAAATGACATTCAACATAAATTATAATTAAATCATATTCATAGTCCTTAGTTATAAAAGAAATCAAACCTGCTTAAAGACAGCCTACTTAAGCCCAGCCTTCATCAGCTGTGATGGGAAGCGCATTTTAAGTCCTGTGTCCACATTAATTTTGTTATGAAGTTAATTCTACAGTAAAGAGACATTAAATGAAAGTTCTACAATGACCTCTATACTAACATCCACTAAACAGATACTAAGTTTGATATACAAAATTCCCAGGAGAAGTCTAAGCCCGTGCTACTTTGAGGCCAGTTACAAGGTATTGTCATTTAAAGTTTACTTGTTTTGAACTGTATATTTCAATTGTAATATCAAGAAAAACCCCAAAATGTTCTGGTACAGCAAAGCTGCTCCTCTCCATCTCCCTCATGGAATGGATAAACAACGCTGGAATTAATTTCAATATTATATTTATACTAAATCTTCATCAGGGGTGTAACAGCTCCATGTAGCTGATTTGACAATTCATTAGCTCCCAGTAGGCAGGAGTGGGAGGCACACTGCCTGTCAACACTGCCTTCTGCATTCCCCACACTACCAGAGTATGTGGCAGTTAGGTCAAGTCTGTCATTAGCAACCTGAAGAAGGGTTTTCAACGTTATGTTTTTTGGTTTTAAAACTAATTTGCATCTCAAAAATGATGCTGAAGTTTCTCAACAACTCTCGCTTTTAAAACAAAATTAAACATGCAAGAAAAAGTGATATTATTCAAGAAATAAGCCTGAGAAGCATTCTCTGTGATTTGGTGGTCTGATTATTTTTTTTTTTCTAAGCTACAGGACAAGTGTTCTTCTTCAAAAGCACAAGCTAAGAAAGGATAACAGGTATCAATTCTGGGCTGAATTTTGGAAGAAGGTTGTCCAGTAGACAAGGCAGTGAAATGAGAAGGTGTTTGAAAGCATTCAGTATTCCAGCATTCCTGGCTCCAGGAAGCAAGACAAAAGTACTGGACAATTCAGACAAATGAAAGGATCAGTTTTTCAGATAAGTACACAAATGTAGCTAAGTTTCTGTTTATAAAAGCTATAAAATAAAATTCTCTTGAAAATTAGAAGCACTTCTTAGAATACACAAGCTAGGTTTTCAAAAGTTTCATGTATTCTAGAAGGATTCTAACCAATAATTTTCAATCATGAAGAGTCTGTCCACAAGACCTGAGTATGATATGATTGCTTCCCTACAGCTCTCTGAAGTTTACATAATCAAACAAACAAACAAAATAGCATCAGGTACCACCCGAGCAAGCCAAATCCAGTTCAATGCATCCTTAAAGATGTTTTCTACCCAAATAAAAACATGTTTTACCTTTTTGTTTTTTAATGCACTCCCAGACCCCAAATAACACAAAATAATGCACATTCAGATGGATTTTCCAAGATGTCATTTACCACTAAAATAGTTCATTCCAGCAATTGAAAGACCATAAAAGAATGCGTGTCTTCTACAGACTCATAATCCTCAAATAACCATAACAGATCTTATGCTACTATTCACCAGTGACCTCTAAGTCAGATAATTTAATTTCTTCCCCTTGCAGCGCAGCAGTGGTTTCACAGAGTGAAATAACAATTTCCGCACAAGAAAATTCATCCAATTATAAAGACTGTATCAAGTCTATCATTAACAGCACATGTCACAGCAGTCTCCGGAGTGAATTGACTTAATATAGCCTAAGAGCCCATGTTCTACTCTTCATCCTCAGCCTTTAACAAATATTTCTGGACTTTCTTCCACAGTGTTTCAGACCATTACTCCAAAATGCCTCCACTAAAAACAGATCCAAAATAATCACTTATCTTGCACCATAAAAACACTTTCACTCAGTGGAGAAGGAGGAGATACATGCAGAGAAGCCCTCTACAGCCTTTCTTAATGGAAAGGGTAAAGAAAAAAAGAAAACAAATCATAACCAGAACAACGTCTGCAAAATCAATTATGGCAGTAATTTTTAAATCTAGCAATGTTTTTTAAATGCTTCATTAATTTACTTCAGAGACAAGAGATTCATTATAAAACCAACATTCACTGTGAAAATGGGAGCTACTGTTAGGGAACTCTGTGAAGAGCTGTACTAAACATGAAAATAACGAGGATAGCATTCTCGATGCATGTTCTCTCTTTCTGACCCTGTTTTATTTTGAAACACAATTCTTCAACTCAGATTTTGCATGGCAATCACTTGTGGCTTTTCAATTCAATATTCACAGCTACAACCACTGTGTCACTTTGTGATTCAGAAAGTAACAGAATTTCACTAGCAGCAGAATTAGTGAATATCTAAATCACTTAAAAAAACCATACAAAAAACCCCATCATACAATTCTTTTCATACTATGACCTTCACTATGACATGTCAGCACTTCTATTTCTCCGTAGTACAGGTAGTTCAAAGTTTGGCTGCAAAGTGGACACTTCTTAATTTTGCCCTGTGGACATTTAACTTCTGCAACACTAAGTGCTGACGCCTTCTAGCCCAAGGTTACTTCGATTTGGACATGATTCAAAGTTTAAAAGAATTCAGAATATACCCGCTACACCTGCTACAAACATCTGGCTTTAAGAGTGTCTAAGTGCTGTTAATACCAAAGAACAGATTCAAGTTAATATAGATATGACTGTTGAAAAATAAGGTTGGGTTTAACAGCCACTTTTTGTTCTCTTCTTCCCATACCCATCTTCTGACTTTCTTTTTCTCTTCTTCAGAACAGCCTTCTAACTACTATGCTGCTCACACCGTCCACTGCATACTTCAGAAAGTGTTCTAAGAAATTGAAGATTCAAAATATCTAACAAGTTTGCTGTGAGGAGCTTTCCACTTTCTTTCCTTAAAGGACATTCCAACCACTTACTTTCATCATCTTTTATAAAGCACCATTTATTTATGTAGAACTGAATAAAAAAAGAACCAAATAAAGCAATTCCCAAAGTATAACTCTGCCATCAATATGTTAGCAGTGATAGCTGCCTGTACATTGCCCACGGAGTTTATTAATCACTTATTTCTCTCACCCAGGACCTTCAGTGCTTTCTCCCCTTATACTGCTATTGCAAGAGAAAGACATCGCAAGTCCATGGTAATTCTTCCTGTCTAAGAGAGAGAGCATTGCATGTACAAGAAACAATGTAATAAATTTCCAGCGCAATGCCACACTGTAATAATCTCTGTGGAGCAATTAAGCAGGCTCAGAACTAAACAAATTTGTCAGAGTCAAGACAGACGCCAGGTGATGACCAGTTCAAATGAGACAGACAGTAAGTTCAAGTTTTAAAGCATTAAAATATTTTGCAATAAAAGACATAATTTAAAAGACAGAAATGAGGTAGATATTGCTAACTGGAGAATATTCAGGTGTCCTTGGTTGCACTTAACCAAGGACTGAGAAGGGAAACATCATCCTAATTAAGTGCATTACTCTTCCCACACAAAATTTTCCAGTATTACTCAGCAGAACATGTGCTCTATCACTAATTATACTGATTGCTTTATGTGATATTATGAAAAAGAGACCTGAATACCTTACATATTTAGCAAAAAAATGTTTTAAAGCCCACAAAAATAAAAAAATCTAAAAGCTCTCCACTTCCACACCCTGTTAGCAAAGAAAATGTGAGCCAGTAAGACAGTATCAACAAATCAAGGTTAGAGTTCTGCATTTTAAATAATTGTTTCTAATTCATGCAGACTTCTGCTGATCACTAGGAAACAAAAAATATGATGAAGTCTGAACTTCATCTTCTCATTGCCTCTGGACATGAGTCATTCTTCCCAGCGCGAGGGAGGACTTTTTCATGAGCTTGAAGGGCTTCTTAGTTCTGAAGCGGTTCTGAAGACCACTCAATGGTATGTGTCCACCTATCTTTTTTACTGTACTGGTGAACAAAAGCTTTGGCTTAAATAAAGTAGAAAAACCCATTCACATAAATGCTAAACACAGCTTCAGGTTAAATTATTGTCCCTGCATCTGTTTAAAGCTTCTGTAATTCTCCCTAACTTGCACTTTGATTTGTCTCTAAAACTGTTCATTTAAATATTCTAGATTCCTCTAATAAATTCACAACAGTCATTCCCTACAGTCAGACTTCAGCCCATTCTGCTCAGGTGCCATACTGCTTCAGTAATTTTTTTTCTGCAAGTTACCACTTTTTTGAATGACTGACAAATTGCATTTTGAACAACCATATCAAATAGTTAATCAACAAAGCATTATTCCTTTCCTCTTTCTGTAATATGTCACTGATTTATCATACAACTCAAAGTCCTAGTGTAACAAAACTAGTTAGAGAGTCCACGGACAAAAACAGGAAATCCACTCCAAAAAGCCTGGAGTTAACTTTGTAGTTTTTACATAGCTAGCTACTCACAAGAAAACTGCCTTATTTGCTGCAGTTAGGATCAGAACTGAAGGACATTTTCCCACAATAGGGCAGATGTATGTCTTATCTACCCTTTCCCTAGAGAATAGTTAGTTAATTTACAAAGACCTGTAACTCTGGACCTGTCAAACTCCTCATAGTTGGGGTGTACTACTCATATTAGTTTTGAATGTTGAGTCACAGAAATACTTTCAAGAAGAAACTACCCAGGTGGTTCTACATCAGCTCAGCTTTGCTTTTACACACAAGTGCAGTTCATTTTGCTTACTCCTGCCATTCGAACACAACTAGGTACTTCCAACTTAAAGTGAGGAAATGAAGTTTTAATAACTACTTTGCAAAAAAAAAAAAAAAAAAGGTAGGTCAACAAAGCATTTTTAAGCTACCTTAAGCTGTGTGTTTTCCCTGTTCCTTGGAGTTACAAGAAATAATACAACCGAAAGACTAATTTTTGACTGCTGGCTTAGGATCACATTGAACAGTCAGATCACATTTTTCATTACTTTTAAGTTTTACATTCTTCCCTTTGTCATTGATTAGCTCCACACCCTTCCGCTTAGCCAGAGCTCTAAATGGCATGTAAGAAATAAAAACTGTCGCTTTCCAGCAAAAGCATTCTACTCCTAATATGCCTGCTTATTAAACACACTGAAGTTGCTTATTTTTATGCTACCAGCTTTCCAATTTGTTCTTAAATAGTAGTCAAAATTGTAATTTTTTTTAAGTCTTGTGCTGCAGAGCATGCCAACTCTTTGAAAAGAAAGCAAATGGAGCCTGTCTTTATGGTATAAATTAAATTTGAATCGATACTTCTCTCTTCTCTATTTTACAAATAAGATATGATTGTTTCTGTATAATGCCTCCTGCATTGCATTGCTTTTTCCAGATAAACCCCTTTATCTTTCCAGGTTATGCAGAAAAGTTTAAGCATCCTGCATAATTCTGGCTTGAATTCAGTACTGAGGCAGAGAAACACTAGGCACATATTTTTAAGAAGCAAGAATAAAGATGTCACAAGGGAATTGGCAGTCTTCCAGTAACCACAAAAGAACACAGAATAATTCATGAGGTCACCAGAATTCAGAAATGGTTTGGTAGTCTCTTTTCAGCTTCCTCATATTTTATTTTCATACTTACTAGAAAATATCAACAAATATGCCAGTCTTTTTCCTAAGTCTAAATAACTAAAAAATACTCCAAAACACAGACATAATACATATTTTGTTGTAACTGACACACAAAAAGTGAATTCCAGACAGCTGAGGGTACATGTGTGTGCATCTCTGTGCAGGATGAGGGTCAGTCTGTATCAGGAACGGCAGCCCAGCTGCAGCCTTAAAAGCTCTTATGTCCAGATGCCTGAAACTGGTGAGACTTGGATCCAGAGGCTACTCTACATACTGACCATGCACCACTGCTGAAGGGATCCTTACTGTACCCACCAGGAATGCAGGTATATCCTTGCCACTTGTTGGACCTAGGGTCATGAAGCTGTGGCAGCCTTGCCCTTCTTGGGCTGCTAAATGCTGTCCAATTCCTGAAAAAAATTGCACTAACAGTAAGTCTTTACCTGAGAACAATCAGCCTTGGCTATTTCTGTAGTAGTCTGAAGCACAACATGAAGAGTGTCTCCATTTTCTTGGATCAGTAGATAAGCCAACAAAAGAAAAACATGAGCAGGGACTTGAGTGCTAACAGATAGCAGTGATTTCACTGAAGATAACCATTTAGTAACTGCGGACTTCTCTTTCAGGAGCTCTATGATCTTCCAGGTTGTGTACAATGAACTGTAAGAGCTGGTTATAGGAAAAAGGAGTTTGCAGGACACCTGAGAACAAGTGAAGCAAATAAAAGTCTCAATCAAACAAATAAGGTACCACAAAAAACCAAAAATAACATCCAAGTTGTCATCCAAAACATTTTTTATGGTCCCAATGCAATAAATGCAAATAACAAACTGCAATATATTTCTTTGAAATCCTTTCTATGAATTATTGTACTACGGATGCTTCAATGGTGTGTAAGTTTTGAGCTGACTTCCCACCAAGACTCCGAGACCCAGTGAAAGCCTTTTCAACCTCCCTCCCCCTTTGGGCAAAGGAAAAAAGCTATAGAAACTGAAAGAAACCAAAACCAACTTAATTATACCAAAATAAATATATATATATTTTTACATATATCACAGTTATATACAGTGAGAATACTATGTACAACCCCAAAAAAAGGGAAAGGGGAAGGGAAAGAGGGAAAAGGAACAAAAAGGGACAAAACCAAACAGATACGCGCAAACAAAAACCTGGAGCAAAATAAAGAACTAGCAAAATGAAATCTCAATACTTCCCTTGAAAAAAAGCAGGATCACGCCAGACACCACCAGCACCCTCCACCTTCCGCGTGGCAAACAACAAGCTTAAGCAGGCCTCAACTCCCAGATGAGCAAGACCAATCACAGGGACCTGCTGTCTCCCAAGCTCACCGGAAGGGAAGAGGATCTCAGTGTCTCCTCCCCTCATATTTATACCTCCATTTACATAAAGGGATAGGGTGGAATACTTCCTTGGTTATCAGGAAGGAAGGCCTAAGACTCAAAACAATTACAAATGGGTTGATAATTTCATACTCAGGCGTTCCCACTTTATCTGACATCCATCACTCCTGTTCCTGTGAGTGACTGGAGTGCTACTTCCTCACTAAAACTGACATAATAAAACTAGAGTACATTAAAAGCTTAAGTTCCTGACAATGACAGGAGAATCATAAGTTTAACTATCATCTACATTATTTTTAGAAAACTGTCTTAACTTTTAATAGTACTTAATATCACAGTTTAGGTTAATCTGTTTTTACGTTTTATGTTTAACGGATTTGTTTCTCAGAACAAAATGAGCTACAGTTGCAGTCACAGAAGATAACATTTAGCAGCAGGACAGTAGTAAAATAAAAATGAGGAATCCTCTTAAGTTGGATTTTCATATATGTAAGAGTATATACATTCTAAAGTTCCTGCAAATAAAGTTTAAAGTGATTCATTAAAAGAAAAGTTTAATCCAAGACAAGCCATTTCTTTACTATTAATTCTCTGCTTCCTTAGAAAGTACAATGTTTTCAGAAATACCTCTCCACTATCAAGACAGTAGTTAGCAGGCAGTGATTAGGTGAAGAACATTTATATAAAGATCAGGTCAAGAAAGTACTTGAAAAGAGGTCTCCAAACGAACATCAAAAACGGAATTCAGACTCTAAAGGGCAGAGAAAAGAGATTTTGAGTGGCAAAAGCTGTTCTAAATGCAGAATTTCATTTTAATCACACTGTAATGTAAACTTATTTTGCCTAATAGAAGGTAGAATGCCACTGTATTTTAGATTACCTTTTAAAAATAACACTAAAATTAGCTTATTCCATTATTTACACTTTACTATAGTGTATGTTAAAAATTCAGCAGTCTATAATGCTCTCTCTTCTGGCTGGCAAGATCACTTGGAGCCAAAAACGTCTTCTGAATACAGATGTGAAATTGCCATTTATTGAAAAAGGTAACTAAACTTTATCCAAGGACATACAGTGCCCTAAGAAGAGCTTCAGAATCCGTAACATGTACTGTTTAGTTACCTGCCTCTAGAAGATAATAGGTCCTGAAATCAAGATCAGACTATTAAAGGAGTTTTGTTGTTGTTTTGGGTTTGTTTGTTTTCGTTGTTGTTGTTGTTTATTTTAAATGCCTCAAAAAACCTGCTAAAATTGGTAGAGCCTGAAATATTATATTGGTATTTCTCATTCCCTATTCCATCCCCAAAGGTTTTGCTTCAACATAATAGTACTCACTCCCTTCTCCCTTTATTTCATCTGCATAAACCAGGCTATGATTATAATTTTACTTTAATACTGCATTCCATTCAAGTGGGTTAGGTAGAAAATTTCAGTCCGTCAACACAAAGACATACATATATATAAATCCCTCAATGGCAAAACATAAGTGAAGGTTAGCCTCATTCTAACTTTCAAAATCATGGGACTACAGGTAGAACAATTCTCTACCATCAATGCAAAAAAAAAAACTCAAAAAACACCAAAACCAAAAACCATTAAAGAACATGTAACTTGTGTGTGTGGTTAAAAGCAAAGAAGCAGCATGCCCTCTACACAAAAGTGGTCAAATACCCATTGAGGACTACGAGATCCTTTCCAGGATTCTAGGGCATGCAGATACAAAAGTCAGAGCTAGCTAGAACTGAAATTGGCCAGAAATGTCAAGAAGAAAGGGTTATTCAGATACACGAGCAGTTAAGCAGAAACACAGGGAAGACATAGGTGTCCCAATGGACAACACACTGAACATGGGCCAGCAGCACATCGCTGTAGCTAAGAAGGCAAACAGGATCCTGAGCTGCATCCATGTCCAGCAGACAGAGATGTGATCATCCTACTTTATCAGCACCTGTCAGACTGCACATGGAGTAGTGTGTCCAGTTCTGGTCCCCACAGTTCCAAAACAGATGCAGACAGATTAGAGAACATCTAAAGGAGTACCATGAGTTAGGTCTTTTAACACTGCGGAAGTGAAGGCTAACGGGGATGCACCACTGCTTTCCAGTACGTGAAGGGCAGTTATTAAGAGGACAGAAGCTCTCTCTTCATAAAGAATCGCATGACAGGGCAAAGGGCAACAGACACAAGTTGCCTGGGAGAGGGGCAGGGATAGTTTTACATTACAAGAAAGACATTTTTGACAGTGAAAACAATCATTCACTGGAACAACCTCTCCAGGGACATGGTGGAGTCCCCACCACTGGAGGTTTTAAAGATGTGATTGGACAGGGTACTAGATAATCTCATCTAGGCTCCTGTTCATATGAAAGGCTGGATCAGATGATCTTCCAGTCTGGGCTGTTCTGTGATTCTATGAAAATGTATTACCAAAGATCTGCCATGCTACCTGCTATGAACTCTGCAAGGATCAGTGAGACAGAAGTGAAGAGACTGTTTGAGAATTCCCACCAAAGACAAGTGTTTTCAGTTTAACACGGCTAACAGAAAAAGTTAGTCATCAAAAGCAATTTAAACCCTTAACAGAAAAGCTTTTACATGCTTTTCTGAAGAAAGAGAATACCAGAATTAGTACAAAGTTCTGTTACAGAAAGCCAGTGTAATACAATGTACTGTAATCTTGTCCTACAGTAACCCAGTAGTCATGTAAGACATTAAAATAGCTTCTAAAACACAACAGAAAACAAAACAGGTGGGCCAGTGACACAGGGCATAGAGGACCAAAGTGCTTCAAAAATCCCTCACTGAAAAAAGCCTCCAGTGGCATCTGTACAGGCTGTCACCCAGTAAGTCCCATTAAAAGAAGTGAGCTCTACTTAAAGCCACCCCATACCTATTCTTTCAGAGCAGAATAAGAAGTGTAAGCTTTAGTGAACTTTAAAACAGTTATTTTTCATTAGGAGTACGAATGGGCTCGCCTTTTCAAATTTTGGAAATAGAAGATGAAGTTGGTGAGGTATTCCAGGACAAGGAGACATGGCAGAACTCAGAACTGGCATTCTGTTTCTGTCTCCAACTGGTCATATCACCGCTCTCCTTATGCAAAATAACAGGAGTGTAAAGCAGAAAGGGAGCTTAGTTTCCCCACTTCTAAGCATATCTTGATCAAAGAGACTTGTTGTGGTGGATGGCAGAGAAGTGGGACATAAGTAATTAACAAAAAAACCCCAAAACCCCAACCAAAAGAAAAAACAACCAATAACCCAAAAACACCCCAAAAAGAAAACAAAACAAAAAAACCAACAGCAAAGAATGAATCAGGTTAATGAGCTAAAATATGCTAAATGACACTTAGATACTCTGTAACTCTCTTCAGCCAAAGGAGAAAGAATGGTAGCTAACAGTCACATACAGTACTAAGGAAAAAGACAGAGACAAGGAAAATAAGCAAGTCTGAGAGAAACAAAGTAAATACACATAATCCTATTTTCTGTAAGTCCTGTTACTTGCTTTATAAGGTAGGTGAATTCTTCAATCTATACAGTCTCTTAAAGTAAAAAAATCCTATTTGTTAAGTAAAATATTTAGCTTACAAACACACTTCCACTTCCCTAATAGTCTAGTTTTATGGACTATACATAGTTCCAAGTGTTTCCATAGAATGTATTACCCAAGGAAGTTCACACATGCAGAGTCTTTCCAAGCCAAAGGATAATGCAGCAAAATTGTTAAATGTCTCCCCTACCTGCCCCAAAAGAAGAAAAAAAAACCCTTATCACTTTACCATTTCCTGTTTATCCTTCAGACCTTCCTCCTGTAATATTCCCAAAAGATTTACACCCAGCTGCTGCCTGGTAGTTCCAGAATCATCCCCTAAAAGGCAGTCTCCAACTGTTGTAGAAGATAAGATCTGTAGCACGGGCATCACCAAAGTCAGGGCTGTGGTTGAGATATTCTTGGTTTCTGAACATGAAAGGAGCTTGTAGGCTATTGAGGACAAGGCGGGGGGAAAAAAAGTCACGTAGGAAAAAAAGAATTAACATAATTTGTACTTTTAGACATGATACAGACATCTTTAGGAAACACTCCAGTCAAGCAAAGTAACAGTCCCAGATTTACAGTATGTGTATACTAGAGTTGAAGGGCAAAAGATTTTTTGGTGAAACTCCAATTTTATTAAGAGACCCATACACTTCTGCTGCTTATAGCAAAGTACCTGACGGCAGCAAGAAATAGAATGTAGCAGACTTTTGCTTTTATTGGAATAACTGCATTAATCAAAACCGCTAAGTCAAAAGCACAGCCAAACATTGCCATGACTGTGAGGCCTGCTCTCAATACCTGTCAAAAGAAACCATTCAGGATGCATGAACCCCAGCTGAGAATATCCTGTTGTTGATTCAAAAATTAAACATATACGCTCCAAGACAAGGAGGACCTTAAAAAACAGTCATATCCATGGGAAAAGTCACAGTTGCAGGAAGAATTATCTTTATTGCCATTACTTTTTAAATTCAGGAAAAATTCTATTTATTAAAAACAAAAAACATTTCACCATCCAGTCCAGCTCCAGGAGAATGCAGTGTTTATTTTCATAAACATGAAGAAGCAAAGACACAGTTTTAAGAGTGTGGATTCCTCTTTCACAAGAAGAGCTTTACCTAGACTCAAGACAGGCTTTTGCTGACTTTCTGGTGTTTGCAGCAGTAGAAGTGCTAGCCCAATTATACACTGGTTGACCGGAAATACCTATGAGGAAAAAAAAAAGGCACTGTTTCAGTGTCATTAAACAGTACAAATAGGCAACTATCAGAACAGTGAAAGGAGTATCTTAATGAATTCCACTGAGTGCACATGCAGTGACAGAGCAATCAATGAAGAATATGAACAGTACAAAAACAGTATTTTAACTAAATAATTACAACATTTTAATTTGTTACTTTGTTCAAACCATTTTAGCTCAGTTTAAACCAATTCCTAAACTAAAAGATTAACTGATATATACAGAATCAATTAAGTTTTCACATTCTGAAGATCTTCAATCAAGAAGTAAAATTAGAAGCTTTTGAAACAACACTGACTGCCTGCAGACGAATGCCATGTATGAATGTCTGTACTGTCTTAAACATGAGATTCTTCAGATTTAATAAAACTATTTTATTTTTTTCCCCATATACTCTTACCTCTTTTAAGAGCTCAAAGTTGTCCTCTATTAAGGAGACCAAAGATGAGCATTCTCCTGTCACATCTAAACACACTTCACAGAAGCATAACAATTGCACACAAAACTCAGATAACTGAACTTTCCAAAACACAGGATAGCGTAGTAGGCTGAGGAATAGCTCTTGCAGATAAAACAAGGCTTCTGTAACTTGCAGTAAGTCTTTAAGCTGTAGAGAGGTGGTTAAAACAAAACAAAGCCAAAACACATGATGATTTAGTTCCCCTTCTATATATACACAGAATTTAGAATTAATTCTTTTAGCTCTGCTATGTTTCCAGTGCAAATAGTATAAAATCTTCACAGAAATTCATTTATGGACTAAACCATGGAATCCCTCATCCAATTCCCTAAAAAAAAAAAATAAAATTTATGTACTGCTATTTAATATTTTTAAGAAAAATGAGAAACATGAAAGAATACAAAGATTTCATGGTAGCTGATGAGAAAAATCCCTTTTTACTCAAAAACAATAGCAATTCATTCAGTCCTCAAGATTCTTGCAACAACATAAAAAAATAAAGTGTTTGACGATTTCATAGAGCAGGTAAATATTCTTATAACAGAATAATAATATAATAAATATAACAGAAACATCTGGCTCTAGGATATTTCCTCTATAATGTAACCAAGATTTTAACACATGTTTCAAAAGAGAAACGCAGGTTTTACCTGCTTATAAAGCACCATGCAAGCTACTTACTACAAAAATTAAAAGCTGAAGTGCAATACCCAAAAGTATTAAGTATCTCCCTACTTGAAAGCCAACTAAAGATGTTTCAAGAAGCAGGTTGCCTCTAAATCCTCATGTGTTAGACAACAGTTCTTGAAAATTCTAGTTCCAGACAAACTGTTCCAACCCAAACTCTGGAGCCAGCATTAAGCATAACATCTTGATTTTTATACCCTTTTTGTTCTATAAATAATCTGTTCTAATCTTAAGCCTCATGGCCACTGAATTTATCATCTGAAAAGTCTGCAGGTGAAGAGATGTACTTTTGACAGCTTGGTTTATACTGTCAGACAAAATGACAAAATGTTTCAACATTTATGCTACACATAAAGGATTAAATTAGGCTAAGCTAAAAGGAAAGAGAAGAAGAACCTGAAGTTCAGAGAAAGAAGGGGAAGGAACTGACAGATTATAAAACAGTCCATCAAACAGGCTTCTTGAAGGAATACTTCGCTTTCTGTTGTGAAAGTTGTATCTCAGGCAAGACAAAAAGTGTTCAAGCATTAATATGAGTTGAAAAATATGCAACTGATTTCTAATTTAAAAAAAAAAGTGCCAATGTGCATGGAGGAAAGAAAGGCTCATAACTGATTTTTTATAAGTCTTCTTCAATGCCATTTTATGGCTAAATGTTACCAAGTCTGAAGCTAGGTCATACATTCAAGGCACAATGTTATACTGAAGCTCAGGTAGAATCAAGACAAAATCAGAAATGTCTCTATGACTAGAAAAGGTCAGCATGTACCTGTCATCACAAAGAATTGACCTGAGCCAAGACAAACATGTATGACACAAGTTATAGTTTTACCAAAGGACTGAGAAAAGTAGCTATGAGTACAAAGAAGACTTTACTAGTAAAATGCCTCACAAGAAAGATGATACCAAATATCCTCGAAACAAGCCAACTTATCTTTACATTACTTATATTAACAAACCCTCTCTCCATGCCAATAAGGCTATAGCACCTCATGTTTGACTGAATACATCTGAAACTAAAGATGTCGTCCTAATATCATAAGAGGAAGGAAAAGGTACATAGGTACAAAAAAGCATAATTGATGTCACATTAAACCATGAGGCAAAGCCGAGCTATTAAGTTTAACCGACATCCTAGGTCCATAACCAAAGTGGACATAAAGATTAAAATTCCTAGCTCCTAGCATGTATTGCTGTGCAACTTAAAAACACATTTATAAGCTTCAGCATATTCCAAAAAGATTAAATTTTGTCAGATCCAGTAATCCCTCTCTCACAAAGAGTGAGAAAAGAATATCTAGAAGTACTTAAATCATACTTGTCATACAGTTTGTTTCATTTTAATATTATCCATTTTAAGTTAAAAATCGCATGTTTCTGACAATTAACCTACCATTTAACAACATTTTCTCATTACTGTCTTTCTAAGTTTACTATATGTTTACTGAGGCAATTAGTTGTAAATAAGTATGGTAAACATGTTTTTCAATTTCCATCCTATCAGGTGTATCAGATTTCAACAATTAAAGTTTTATCTTCTACCAGAAAGAGACAGTTTGTTAGCCTTTTGTACTATCAACAAATCAGGTCCACAGAAAATGGAAGAGAATGTTGTATTTGTACACTTGCAAGATAATAATGTTACTATCATTGCTCTGATATCATATATTTGTAAAAGGCGGGTCAGGCAACAACTGTACCTGAAGGTGTGGAATCAAATCACACAGAAGCTGAAGAATCTCACATTCCAGCACGGAAGGTGTGTCTTCATGCTTTAGCCCACGAGGCTGAAGTAAGATCTTAAGTAAACCCGTTCGCAGTTCAGCATATTCCCGTAACTGAGATGGTTCACAATACAGGTATCTTAGAAATGGAGCCATTATGCCAACACATGAACTCTCTGCCCTGCAGTTCAAGAAGTAAGTTTGCCATTACTGCTTTCTACTGAAAGCTTAACAAGCAACAAGGAAAACCCAAGCAATGTGACATTACCTGCAAAAATTTACAGGATGCAATTAAGACAAAGATGTTAAGAACAGAATCACTAAATCTCACAAAAAAATTTGGTCTTATTTGGACACAGTATTGTTATAAGACCTTATACGGGAACCATACCATGAAGTGCAATACTGAAAAGACCTGATATTTAAGCATGAATACTACTCAACAGGTATTTGCAGGTTATCACACTCTAAATTTTATTTTTTTCCTCCATCAAGATTCAAGAAAGTGTCTTTCCTTACTGAATGTTTTGATAGACTAATGGGCCATTCTGAAGTAGCATTTGGACAAGACTATTCAGAAATATCTTTTTAAAACACATAAAACATATATTCATTAAAAAGATGTCATCTATTACTTATCAGTTTTTGCACAATGATCTTAAATTTTTTACTGGGAAGCCACCTTAGTTGTTCCTGTTTCATGTAACTTTTTTATCACAGAACAAATCTGTTGGCTTGACAATATTAGGAATACAAGCTGTCCTTGTCATTTTTAAAACAATCAAATAAAGCTCATGGTCAATACATTAACATATCTAGAATCAAAGAATCATTTAGGCTCAAGTCCAACCACTAACACAGCACTCCCAAGCCCACCACTAAACCATGCCCCCAAGTGTCATGTCTACATGTCTTTTGAATACTTACAGAGATAGTGACTCTACTACTTCCTTGGGCAGCCTGTTATGATTCTTGACAACCCTTTCCATGACGAAATTTTTCCTAAGAGCCAATCTAAACCTCCCTTGGCACAACATGAAGCTGTTTACTCTCATCCTGTTACTTGTTACCTGGGAGAAGAGACTGACCCCTACCTGGCTACAATTTCCTTTCAGGCAGTTGTAGAGTGTAAAAAGGTCCCCCCTCAGTCTCCTCTTCTCCAGGCTAAACAATCCCAACTCCCTCAGTCACTCCTCACAGGACTTGGACTCAAGACCCTTCACCAGCTTCACTGCCCTTCTATGGACACAATTCAGAGCTTTAATGTCTTTCCTGTAGTGATAAAGGGCCCAAAAACTGAACAAGGGATTCGAGATGCAGCTTCAACAGTGCCAAGTACAGGGGAACGATCCCTTCCCTGGTCCTGCTGGTCAAACTACTGCTGATAAAAGCGAGAATGCCATTGGCCTTCTTGGCCACCTGGGCACACTGCTGGCTCATGCTCAGCTGCTGTCAACCAGGACCCCAAGGTCCTTTTCCTCTGGGCAACTTTCCAACCACTCTGCCCCCAGCCTGTAGCTCTGCCTGGGGTTGTTGTGATCCAAAGACAAGACCTGGCACTTGGCCTTGTTGAACCTCATATAATTGGTCTTGGCCCACGGATCCAGCCTGTCCAGATCCCTCTGCAGTCTTCCTGCAAATCAACAAGGAAGCAAAAGTCCGTTTTAAACAACACTCAGTCTTGATGCAAAGCTGTAGGAAGAACTCAGTAACTAGTCTACATCAACATATGTGGAGCTTGTTTATGTCATGCTTAGGGACACTGTTTAGTGGTGGACTGGATAGCATTAGGTTAATGGTTGGAGTTGATGTTCTTAAGGGTCTTTCTCAACCTAAATGAAATATTCTCAGTCTAACACTTTATCCACAGAAACCTTGAACAAACAGCAACAAAGGAAATTTAAAATATTTTCCTTTTCAGTAAAAACAACTCCTTTTAATTCAAAAGAAGCCACTAGCAAAAAAAATCCACACTTCATTCCATCATTCATACATCTGATGAGACTCTTCATGAGTCCCATCCATTTAGTAGCTGAGTGAAAGAACAAATATGCTAAGTGCAGTTCAAAAATACTCTGATCAATTAAATTGACTGTGTAGTTTTTGCTCGAAAGTCTTACTGTTGATCAAGTAGTCTAGGCCCACTAGAAATTTAAGAAATTAATAAATTTATTTCTTAACTCATAGCAACAGAATACGGAAGCCAATCTCTCTGCACTATTACTCTGTTATTAGTCTTCCAGAAAACAGAAGAGGGATACTTTTATCTGAAAAGCACAGATAGAGGTGTAAAATCACTGAAAACATTTAGCTTTAAGGCTGCTACAGCATTTGTTATTTTATCCTGAAGCTCTATTGGGCAAGTTCCTTCAAGTTAAGCATGAAGAAATGTTGAAATAGTTGGCATTTGGGTATTTGTTCATTGCTACAGATGTTTTATAATAAGACTGTGGTGTGATTTTTTCTACTTTTTTTAATTAAGAAGCATACATTGTTTTTCAAGACCTCTTCTTTTACCATGAGACGTAATCATCTGCACTTTTCCGTCATCATCCCATCACTTTGTATAGATGAGTCACAGGTGCATTGTATTAATTTTTTTTGACTTAGCAGTCAAAATTGACAAAGCTAATAAGCAAAATTGCTTATTTTAAAAAAAGTAACTCCAAAGGTGCTATCAGTTTTGCACCAATTATTCTATATCCATAAAACCTTTATCTACAGTTAATAAAAAGCTATAAAAATGATTTTGATGGATTATGGTAGTAATTAATTATTTATGCAATTATTTTAAACATTGAAATGGTGTAATTAAATTTTACAATTATCTTTCACAAAAGACAGAATTCTTACAGCTCATTGCAGCTGCCTTCAAAAAAATAGTTACAATTATATGATTCAGTTATCTACATTTGCTACTTTTTAATTATTCATTCATTTACCTCTCTGGACACTGATGGAAAAATAATGTTATCTGCTGAAGTAGAATTGGCCAGCAGTCAGATCTGTTTTCAAGGACAGTGATTAACGGATGGGGAATGCTCCTGAAACACAAGACATAACATTTTTATCTCTAATGCAGAAAGGAAGTATGCCAAACTGCTATGTTCAAAATAAGTGCAGCTGTAGATAACAGACAATTTAACCTCCTGGTTTTACCAACTCCCAGTACCAGCTTTGCTAAGACTGCTACACTGTCAAGAGAGTATATTTTCTCAGAACTTCAGGAAACAAGACTGAAACAGAATACCTCTATTTGAAAAAGTATTGGTCTCATTCTTTGTTTTTAAATTAAATAAAATCTAAGGATCACTGTTCAAGCCTGATTTGAGTCATTGGGTAGCGGCACTAGGCTGTAGCACTGAGCTCCAAGCAATATCCACAGAAAAATCTGAACCACTTGTCACACATCATCTGTCCAGTCATCCAAGCACAGGTACAAGCCTTCAGCACCTACCTACTGTACTTCCTTCCAAACTATTTTACTGAAGTTACAGTCTTTTATAATCTGTGTACAAAGACTAGGAAAGCTAAGGTTATTGCTTCATTTCAGCTTTCCAAGATGACAGCATGCAAGAAGCAGAAAACCATGCCAGGACCTTGAAAGTGAATAGCCCTTGTAAAGACATATAGGGTTATAGTAGCTGCTTATTTCAATACCTTTGTCACATTTCAAAAATTAATTACCTTTCCTAATCAGAAGAATATGTCTTCAGTCATCACTTAAATGCTTCTATGACACTGAAGGCAGTGGAACCTTCCTAAAGTCAGCACATGCGACACATCAAGTCCAAAATGAAAATGGCTTACCAGAGAGGAAAAAAAGCAAGCATTTTGGACAGATTTTGAGTGTTCTGAAACTACTATAACTGCACCAAACTGGATGATGAAAGAAACTAGCTAAGCTCCATAGTGAACAGTGACTAATAATGAAACACCAAAATGTGCAGCCTAAAAAAGGTGCATCTGATAATGCTAATAGCAGTAGGAAAAATGAGGTTTGTAGATGAGATTTATTGTCAACACTAACTTAGGAATTGCCAGAACAGCACTGTAAGACACACATCTTTAAATGACATTACAGTGCTACTACCCTAAATTATTGCCAGTGGGTTCAGGATAAAGCAAAACGCACAACCAGACACAGCAGTTATCCACTCATTATATGTAAGTGGTCAGGGAAACATAAATAAATCATACAAGATAAATCTTGTATGAGAGGCAACAGTAAAACACAAATAATTTTTAACTTTTAGGTCATCTCAACTTTTTTGTTACATCTCTGAATATAACCGAGCTCCAATCTGATTCAAAGGACAAATCCAGAGACAGACTGTTTTTCTGTATCAGGAAACAATGTCTGCAGTTAACATACTTTTCTGAGGATGCAAATGTGACCTTGGTCCCTTCAGAACGCTGGGATAGCCTTTTGCTCCATCAAATATGCATTTTTAAAGCATTTTTCTACCTCCTCTGAATTTCGAATTCAGAAAGTTGGCAGCTTTCCAGAATTTTAAAACAATAAAACCATGCACGGTGAATCATTAAGAATAATGTTCACTACTAGTTCATTAAAAAAAAAAAAAGTTAAATAGCTTTCAGAAAAAATTTATAGCCAAAGTTCTGTACATGTGTACCATAGCCCATCTGCATTAAAAATGCTGACAGGAGCCCCCCCCCCGGGTCAAGATATAAGCAATTTATTAAAGAAAAGTAAAGGCTATGCAAGAAAGCAAAGGAAAAGAAAGCATTGCACTGCAGGCAATGTGCAGCCACTTCCTGTGAAGAAGGGCTTCAGTCTGTGTAGCCCTTGCTTTGGAAGATAAATGTCTTAATAATGAATGCACTCTAGGTTCCTTCCTCTTAGCTTTTATTCCCGAGCAGACGTCGTATGGTATGAAAGATCTATCCCTTTGGTCAGTTTGGGTAAGCTGTCCTGGCTGTGTGCCCTCTTGAAGTCTTGACCACCTCTACCTTACTGGCCTTAGAGGGATGGCGATGGGCTGGAGGACAGCACTGCTCAGCAGCAGCCAAAACACTGGTGTGTTATCAACGCTGTTCTGGCTGCAAATACACAGCACTGTGATGGCTGCTACGGAGAAAGCTAACTCTATCCCAGAGAAACATAATAAAACAAACAAAACCAAAACAAACCAACCAAACTTAAAAACAAAACCAACAACAACAAAAAAAACGCAACAACCACAAAATGCCCAAATCTGCAAGACATTATTTTCTTTAATTTCCTTTCAGGAACTGTTCATGATATTATGTCATCATAAGAAGCTGTATTATAAAACAAATTCTATTGTTCAGAATTAAAATTGACCTAAGTCAAATCTACTTATTACCCTGTAATACTAGTGACAATAGCAAACCACTTGAGAACATACTGGAGCTTTTTGATTCTTCATTGATGATTTCCACAGGGAATACTTTTGCATTGTTGACAGTATAATACATGAACACTGTAACAGCAGATTACTGTTGGTGAGCTACTGTATACATTCTTCTATTTCTTAGAAAAAATCAAGTTTTAATGGCATTTGATAGAGCACAACTACCAAAATTGTTACATAACAATGAATGGATAGGTTTTTCTGTACATTAAAACCCAGAAATCAGATTTCAAAAGCACAAGGCCCTGACATTACATCAAACAATCTGACATCTCTCTTCATTAAAGCTGACTGCAACCAAAAGGGAAAACAAAAACCGTATTGACTAAGTGTAGGTCTGCTGCTTATTTTCCATTGTCTATTACTTTAATTTAAACCATTTTGAATGTTCCAAATTTCACCTTCCTTGTATGTTACCAGTACTTTCTCTTTTGGTAGGTGGTTAGGGAAAAAAGCAATTATCTTCCTTCGCTCTACTGGGCAGAGGATATTTCTTTATTCCAGCCACATCCTACTACCTTCTTTTTCACACAAAGCCTGGATTAGGTTGCTTTAACTTAGCTTCTTCTACCAGGAGACTTTAAATATGTTTATTTTACTACTAAAAAGAAATTTTCCAAATGAGTTCCATCTTAGTACCCTTCATTATCTGCCTTTTGAACTAAAACTGCTCTATAAGAGGAGACTTTGCAGGAAGACCCAATATACCTAGAAAAACAAAGGATTTCAGGAATGCAAGTATATCCAGCACTCCAAAGCCTGTTTCACTTTTCTTCGCTATTTCATTTTGCTTAATTAACGACATGACTCCTGTCTTTTAAACAATGCATTTTATATCCTTAAGCCATTATAGCTACAGCCTCCTACAGTGATCTCTCTTAACTGCATAAAAAGACACTTGAAAAATGTTCATGACATCTACTAAGGTGGAACATTCTCCAGAAGATATAATAGAGGGTGCTAATGCCAGTACTGACTCATGATTTCTCAAGAGCTGAATGAAGTCATTAAGATGTTCCCTTCAAAAGTCTGCAATTGCATGACAAGCAGCTCTAGATAAGTAGGTCTAGATGCATCTTTAAGTCACTTATTTTTACATGTATATCATCTTCGCAGCGAAGACATTGAGGAACTTGACTTTGATAATAAGAATAAAGCAGGAAAAACAAATGGGAGGGAAGTAATTCACAGTCTTAAAATACTTATTGTGTTCTTGCATACAGCCTTCATGTTGCCATTGCCACCATAAGTTCGAAAAGCACAATCTTATCCCTGTACTAGAAAACTCCTTAAAACTGTCAACCAAAAAAATAATCATAGAATCAGAGAATGATTTACATTGGAAGGGACCTCTCAGATCATCTAGTCCAACCCATATGCTCAAGCATAGTCAGCAGGTAGTTAGAAAGCTACCCATTATCACATGCAGTCAGGTTCTGGTATCTCCAAGGATGGAGATTCCACAATCTCTGTGGGCAACTTGTGCCAGCACTTGATTACCTACACCATGTAAACAAAATAGAACACAAAAAAGAAAGACTGAAAGCCAGTATTAACTTTTTTTCCCCTGAAAATCAGAAATTAGATATTATCATATCTAAATAAAACTAATGTGACACTAACCTGATTCCATACAGATTCCAAACAGACTCATCTCCATCTTTTCCCAGTTGAATAGCTTGAATTTGTAGTAACTTGCAAATAGTTTTCACTAAACCATGCACATTCCTGTTGACAAAAAGAAATAGCACCATGTATACAGTTACATTAGTTGATTCTTACATAAGAGAGGGAACAAAACACTTGATGCCTGGAGTTCTTAAGGACTCTTGACATCTGCCTACATAGGTTTGGGCAAGTCGTGCACCCATGTGTCTTTATTTTCCTTTTCACATAATGAACAAAATAGCAGAGAAAATAATTAATGCATCAATTAAAACTTTTGATGGTTTGCTTCTACCATATATTACAAGTACATCTTCTTCCCCCAGATCAACTCAAACTCATGCATTTAATATGTTAAAACCAGAAAATTAGCGCTTCTCTGAGTGCAAGCATACAGGTAAACATCAAGCAAGCATGGTACACAAATTTCAACAACGCCACTGTCTCAGAAGTGAAATCACATTTCAGAAAAGACACTTGAGACGTCTAGTTTGTGCTGATTTTTGATCTCAGGAGCAAAGGACTATACAAAACAGATACATACAGTTATTTTATCTCCCTTCTCCTATGTTACTTAATTTACCATTCAGGGAATCTAAAGAAACTTTGAGTTCATGTATCACTATCAAAATGGAATTTTGATAGGTCTTCCCATATTCTCCTGGAAATAGACTAAAGAAATTAACCAAGTCCACCACAAGGTGGTGATGATGCAGTAAAAAGAAGTCTAGAGCTTATTAAAGCTTGGCTGAGCTTACAAAGACAACTTCCAAACTTTTGCTCTCCTCTTCATAATTAAGTGCTTTCCATACTCTTCCAACAAGACCATGCCAGAACCAGCCCAATCCCTTTCTCAAGAAAATAACCTGGATTCTATAATGAAACACACTTTCACAAGGTGAAAATGTAGAAGCAGAGGAAAAAAAAAGTCATGATTGGTTCTTTGACTTTTCACCCAGAACATGCTATACAATTGCATCATCATCACCTAAAAATTTATTAGATAGCTTACTAGTCATGTTAATAAAACACAATTACTCCTCGCTTTATTTACATAATGAACAGGAAGAGCTATTAAAATACACAACTATAATAGATTATTACCTGACAAAAAGTTACGTTTATCTCAAAGAACAAGATAAGGGAGGAAAAACAGAATTTGGTGCTGGGCTTTGTTTTTTTTTTTCTTTTTTACTGTTTTCCTTTCTTCCCTTCCTATCAGAAAAAAAATCTGAGAAATCTATGTTATCTGTAATTCCACTTCTCCACTAGTGAAAGGAAAACTGCAGGTGAGATGGAAAAAGAAATTACAGAGAATTTACAACCTTCTCATAGGACAAACAAACCATCATCCTAATTTAACACATTAGCAAACTGAGATACAATAATAGTAACTGTCTGGCCTAGAGTGTAGTATGTTCCATAAATGTCTTCCAAAATTATGAATAGATATACAAACATTTAGGCTTTAAAGCTATACGAAAAATTCTGAATAGATTTAAATAATTTCTATAAAAGAACAGGAAGCTTCACATGAACACTGTCAAAAGACAGGAGCTTACATAACGCAATATCAACATAGATCAACATCAACACAACACTGTGTGGCAACAACATCTAATCACAAGGAAATAGTCTAACTTGATATTTACAAACACTTTACTGAAGATTCAAAAATTGCAAAGGCAAAGGATTTCATCATTGTAGAAACATAACTTAGACACTCTCCCATCATTTGTAAAAGAAAATGGGAACACACAGGCAAACACCACTTTTAACTGTCCAACCTTTTACTACTTTTTTGTCACCACCTGCAGACAAACTCTTTCCTGGAAGCTGGTATGGCACACCAGGGAACACCTAGAGAGTCCCACAGTGGATCTCCCCACCAAGAAATGCTTAGTTTAATATTCTAGATACAGGCAAAGTACTATATTCTCTCTTCTGTGCCTTTCACACTTTTACCGGCAGTGCTGGAAAACACTGACCCTGATCAAAACTGATAGAACATCCTTCTGTTTTCTCTCTTTCTTCCAGAAGTGGACCATTTTTAAGATGTGCCTTTAATCTTTAAAATGATTGGCTGTTGTGACACCTGGCTCTCAAAATGATGAAATCTGACAATGCAAGAAAACATTAGGTTTGACAGAACACTGCTTCAAAGCAAAAAACAGGAAGGTATGCTGCAGCCTTCTAAATCCCAGTGTAGTCAATGTAAAACACAGAGGAGGAAGGATATTTTTGGAGGGCAGGGAGAGATTTTTCATTGCTAGAAAGAGCCAGTTAAATGGGAATTTGCAAGCATATTTCCCACTTCAACTGGATAACTATGCAGCAAGGGGAGAAAAACGAACCATAAAACAGTAAGAAAACTGTCTTTCTTGTTCTGAAACTCCTGTATTGCTGATCCTAATTCCCAGGCAGGAAGTGGGGAGAGAATGGTTGCTTCAGGCTTTACACTTATCTCCTGAACACATGCAATACAGTGGCACAATGTATTGCAAGGACTTCCCCCACCTTCTACAGGTGATAAAAACATTCTGAGAACATATATACACATGGAAATTCTTGGGATTACAATAACCAATTGTTTGACAGGTGGTTTAGAAGACTGACTTGATTATTTATCCTCATTCACTACTGAACACAAGCCACAGAGTTTTCTCATCATCATCTACATAGAATGTTGCAAATCGATCTTAAGAACATGTAAAAATGTACATGTATCTATTTATGCATGTAAATATATTTCCTCTATATGCAAAACCACACAAATACACACATAAATACAATGTTTTATGGAGTTTAAACTCTTAGGGCATCAGAGGAAACTAACACTGTATCTAAGAGCCAGTCATAGTACAGTGAGGTACCACAGAGGTAAGAATAGGTTCCTATTTGTGTATTGAGCAGGTAGTGTGAACCACAAAACAAGTCATCTCAAATAAGCATGAGATGTTCATCTCTGACAAAGCAATATGTGCCTCCTAGTGTGCATAATTTGATACACTTGACAAAATATAATCCAGCAGGTACTCTAAGCCACTGCTAAATTCATTGTAACAGAAGGAAGAGGAGCAAGAACACCAGTAGTCTTTCCAATAAAACATACATCGAACTCCATTCAGCACTGAAAGTGCTCAGCGGTTGCAAATGCCTTTCTGTTAGCTGCCACTGGCTGCTAATTCCATATTTATTTTACTTTAGAGACACTGTGCACACAGCAGCGCAAAGCCACAGAGCAATCTTACATGAAAATATGGCAGGGAATAGGATGACAAACAGCAGGCTACAATTCTAAGCCAAGATAATAAAAAAAGTATCACTACTGAAAAGAACCAACCTGAAATTGTCAGTTTAATCAGCTGCTGAGGCTACAGACATTCTTAAATCCATAGATTTCTGTGGTTAGGCAACATAAACCCTTTGCAATCCATAGTGGATGCAGTTTGAATTGTAGCAGCTTGGGGAAGGAGAGGGCGGTGGTGGGAAAGAAGCAAAAAATACATTAAAGGTTCCTGGATAATTTGCTGGCATTTACTATAGTAATTAGTTGTGTGTTGATTTCATACATTAAAAAATTTTTAAAAAATCAAAGAATGCTGTAGAAATGGGGCAGATCCAAGTCCCTTCAATACATAACTCTGATTTTGTTTTTTAGGTTAACTTAATCTTAAATATCCCACTTTACACATTTTATTTCTTGAAGTAATGTGCTGGTTTAAAGGTAAACCAGCAGGGGAAATGAACTCAACTCAAAAGAGAGATTATAAGTCAGAATAACGATTTAAGAAAATAATATAATAAGTACAATTTTACAGACAAACAATTGGTTTTAACCCACAAAACCCAAATATATAACCCAGCACCTTGGGGCATGAACAGAGTGGTGTTCTTTGGGCCCCCTGAGTCCAAAGGAACAAGTGAGGGGAAAACCTGTTGGTGAGAGTGCTGTTGCAGTCTGGTTGAGAGTGGTGATTGCAGTCTGGTCAAAAGTGGTGGTTGCAGTCTGGTTGACGATGGTGAGCTGCAGTCTGGTTGAGAGCGGTGAGCTGCAGTCTTCCTCTGGATCCCACGAGTGGTAAAAAGGTTCCAAAACTCCAAGTTTATATATTCTCCAGTTCAGGCAGGAATGCTCAGTCCTTCCCTCAGAGCGGGGAATTCCATAAAAGGGTGTGAGGACAGGAACATCTTCCTATCTTGCAGGCCTTTACTGCTAACAATTTCTGGGAAATGGCAGGAAGGCTATAGAATACACAGTTTTGGGTTACACCCATACCATGATGAACTGGTCTCAGCTGTCCTAACTAGGACACAAGCAAAGTTAGATCTGGATTCTGCTCTCTGGCTGAGAGCGGTGGTCTGCAGTCTTCCTCTGGATCCCACGAGTGGTTAAGAAAGGTCCCAAGACTCCAAGATTATATATCCTGCAGTTCAGGCAGGAATGCTCAGTACCTCCCTCAGGGTGGGGGTTCCTTAATGGGTGTGAGGACAAGAGCAACTCCTATCTGGTAGGTCTCTTAGCACCTAGTTTATAGCCTGAGGAGTCAGGTTCTATGTGCAGATAGTGTAAATGGTTCATTGATAACAGTTTCTGGGAAATGGCATGGAAGGCCAAGGGAATACACAGTTTTGGGTTACACTCGTCCAGTGATGAACTGGTCTCAGCTGTCCTAACTAGGACAAGTAAAAAGCTGCATTAACATTTCATCTCCTTATAAACTGCTGCTATGTAACAAACCTTCAGCTTGATGCCTTAAGCCCCTAATGGTTTTTATTTTTCTAATATTTTTAAGTCTTGTAAGTTTTATAAGTAGACTCTGAAAGCAGCATCCCTTACATCCCTTTCCCTGTAGCACCCTTGTTTACACATTCCTTAATACTCTTACCCCATTCTATGCTCCCTATATCACTCCTACCCCCGAATCCAGTAGAAATGTTTACTCTTTTGTCAAGGTAAGGCCTAGACTGTTTGCAGAATAGCCATATCAGGGCCTGAACAACAAAATGAAGTCAAGAACTGCGTGACTATGTACCCTTTGTGCTCTGATGATGGTGAAGGTGATGAAGTAGGTGGTCCCAAAATACACCCCGGACCCATTTTCAGGGGGTGGACCCGGGGTGGTCCAGAGTAAAGGCCACAGGGTGGACACATCTGGGATTAGATGGACAGTATTATAAAACGTAACATCTCGGGCACAGGGGCGTGTGCCGTGTAACATCTTTTGCCTTGGCACAATAAACCCTTTCCTTATCTCACCCCTAATTAACTGCTCCGGGAGATTTTTTTGAAGCACCATAAATCCCACGGCAACAAGCTGAACAGGAATTTCACATTTCCTAGTCTGCAAGCCACAGCTAATCAAACTTTTACTCCATCCTACCCTACAGGACTCAGGTTCTCACAGTCTTAGCACAGGTACTTTTACCTCTTTATTAACAATGCAGACTCCTCCAAACCAAACTAGTAAAGTTTTGTCATTCGGAGGACAGTGGATTGCAGAAATTATCCATATTATAAAAATACATTTACAAAACCTTTTCTAGGGATCCATAGACACCAACTGTAAACACATATAGAATCAGCATCATCACAGTAAAATTCTAGCTGTCAACAAGCAAGTCATAAGGTAAGAAATATTTTTTTAGTGTTTCACTGGTTTACTCAAACTTAAGCTCACCTTGGCTCAGACTGAGTATGAGAAACTTTTGGCTAAAATTGATTATGTGAAGGTGAGAAGGGGTGAAGAACATGTCTTGAATAGCATGGTTCTTCCAACCACTATGCTGAATACACCAGCATAATATATGACAGATATAGCACTAAATAGCTGGCTTGGCTAAAAAAACTCTAGCAGTCTAGCAAGAGAATCAGACAGCTTGGTGCAGAAATTCAGTTGGCTAGGAAAAAGCAATTTGACACAGCTGGTAGATTTAACTGGACACATCTTCCTGATCATCACTTGACTTCCCATTTCTAAATTTTATGCACAGTGTCTTTTCCCCCCACAACGGCATTTGCAGCTTAAAACACCACTGTGAGATGTAAGCACTACATTTGCAGAATTTTGTAGGAGGAAGTAGCTGTAGTGTTAGGTAAAGTGATTTCTTCCTCAGCAGACAAGGAAACAAACCGCAGCATTCCTAATCCCAACACAAATTCTTAGGGTGATTTTATTTGACCAATTTGAATTTGACAGACTGGTTAGGAAGTTATTTCTCCCCATTCTGGTTTTGGCTGGGGTAGGAGCTGTTATGGGGCTGTGTTTTGGATTTGTGATGAACACAATATAGATAATATAGGTTGATAATAAGGATAATGTTTCTGTTACTGCTGAGCAGGGCTTACACAGAGCCAAGGCCTTTTCTGCTTTTTGTACTGCCACGCTGGCAAGGAAGTTGGGAAGCTGAGAGGAGACATAGCCAGGACAGACCCAACTGACCATAAACGAGACTATATGGCATCATGCTCAGTATATAAAATCGGGGGAAGAAGGAGGAAGGCGGGTAAGTCTGGAGTGAGGGTGTTTGTCTTCCCAAGAAACTATTGCACATGATGGGGCCTTGCTTTCCTGGAGATGGCTGAACACTTGCCTGGCCATGGGAAGCAGTGAATTAATTCACAGCTTTTGCTTTCCCTGTTAAACCATCTGTATCTCAACCCACGAGTTTCTCTGGCTTTTACCATTTCAATCCTCTCCCCGTTCCCACTGGTGGGGGGAGTGAGTGATCTGCTGAAAGGGGCTTGATTGCCAGCTGGGTTTAAACCACAACACCCTCCCACATAATGGAAGTTCCTGCCATTTTTTTTCCCCTTCCCAATGACAAAGGCAACAAAACTAGGCAATGCATTGACTTCTGAGGCTCACAGTTCAAAGTTTAGAGCACTAGTATGAACTGCTAACAATTTCAGCTTATACCCATAGGATATTCTGAGTTCTTATGTCAGACCCACACTGTCACACAACCAAGATGAAACCAACGTGCTTCAGCAGAGTGATAGGGCAATATCAGTCCTTAATGCCACAGTTTATTTGAAGATACTGACACTTACAGAATCTTTCCTCTTCCCCTGTATTTACAAGGGAAAAGTGATGACTGATAACCAGCTGCCAAAAGGACACAAAATTAGACAATCAAATACTACCTTGCTGAGGGAATTAGGTTGAGAGCTCCATGAAGAATGTAGTCGAGCTCAGCATGTTTCTCTGCAACAAGCGCCACCAACCCCTCAGAGCAGGCTGTTCGCAAGGCAACATTCTCACTGCAACACTTCTCCCAAAGCAGGTTCAGAGCAGGGGTCTGAGGGCAAAAGCATGGGACAAAGGCAATAAGAAGGCTTTAATTCATCTCAAATGCACTTTTAAATAAAAACCAGCTCAACAGTTGCTCCTGAAGCCTTAGAGAGCACAAGAGAGGAAGCTGGGATACAGATTCTATTCCTAAGAAAGGTCTTTCCCAGGACAGTTTCCACTTTTCTACTCCCACAGTAGGGTGTAGGACTCACTGTCTCTGAGAAAAAGGCAAGGCAGATGAATTATTCAGCTGTGCCTATGCAGCTAGAATCACAGAATGGTTTGGGTTGAAAAGGACCTTAAAGATCATCTAGTTCCAACCCTTCTGTGATGGGCAGAGATGCCACTATCAGGTTGCTCAGGGCCCCACCCAACCTGACCTTGAACACTTCCAGGGATGGGGCATCCACAGGCAGGCTATCATCAGTTTCCTGATTTAAAAAATCAGGATGCAATTGGAAACAACTCAGGAACTGGTATGACAAGTTATGTCTACAGCAAGGTGTAGTGCAGACAGCTGAAGGAAGGCATACAAAGGGCTATCCAAAAATAAGTCGACTTTACTCAACATGTGAAGTTCTCTCCATTTGCTAGTAAGCACAAAGATTTGGCAGTATTCATCAAAACTACTGCTTGTTTCCACAGTAAATTTGTATTCACAGATTAGTTTGCTAACTTTGTGACTTCCAAATGGAGAGCAAGGAAGGTTTTAAAACAATTGAAAACAGCAAAATGCCCTTGAATAAAAAAGGGAGCCTGCAACGTCTAACCACTGCAATCTCCTACTTCTTAGCATTTTAGAAGGTGTTGCTGTATTTTAGTTCAATACTTTCATGGGGCAGCGGAAGGGGAAGAATCAGCTTGTAGCTCAAAACAGAAGGTAACTGGGGAACGTGATAACGATCAGGACAGTGGAAAAGCTTCTGTTAGATAAACTACACACCTCCAACATTCCCTCACACCAAAATTCAACACTTTTCAGGTCTGGGTTTGCTACTTTGTGGGGGCTAAGGAATCAGATTGGGATGAAAAATCTACAAATAATTTTCTAATAATTTCTGGATAAGTAAGCTTTTGGGGAGGAAAAACACAGAAGCAGAAATGCCAGAATTTCACATGCCTTTCAGTTAACAAGGCATGCACTTAAGTGAGCTTGACTCATTTAAAATGCAAAGTACACCTCTACATCATGCTCTATAAGAAATACAAGCTCTGCTTAGCTAACATGAAATGTAACACCAACACAGATACGTGAAATGCCATATTTTTGAAATTTTTATAGTGATGTAAACGAATTTCCACCTCAAGTGACAATGTCTCACCATATGGTACTTCACTTGCAGAAACATAACTAAATTAAGCTCTCTTAAACTGACCATAGTTAAATCTTAGTATTCTGCAGAATTAAGACTTCTGCCATTAAGACTTCTAATGGAAGTAAAACTGCTCTTCTGATCCCAGAGATTTATTGTTTCTACCCATACACCCAGATACACATTGATGACTACCTTATTTAACTTCTGGAATTGTGTTAAAATTACACAATGGAGAACATGAAAATGTAGACAAAGCACGTAGAATAGGAATATATGGATGAGAGAGGAGACACAAGTGAAAGAATGACACAGACCTGGGCAGAAGCCTGTCTGATCTTCTCCGAAGAAACTTTTTCTTTCAGTATTGCAGCAATCAAATGCCCTACTGCCTAAGAGAGAAAAAGAAATAAAAACCACATGCAGATGCGTGAAAAGAAATAAAATAAAATGAAATAAAAATAAATAAAAACCACATGCACGATTTTTAAATTCTCCATTAAGAAGACTTTACAATGCTCTTGCATGTGATCATTTTATTATGATTTGAAATCTTACTGGTATGGAAGCTGAAATATATTTTAGGATTAAAAATCTCCATAATACTGTTGTCTTGAGGCAGAAAAGAAACAAACTTCCATAGGGCTCCACACAGATCCAAAGGTCTCTTTGAACAGGTACATAGGTACTTAGGAATTGCATGTATTTTAATGCACCAACTTTAATAAACATTTATAGCCCCCCTGCTGTACAGATCCCCATGTACTTAACAGCACTGGTAATTATTACATCCTTTACTACACAGGGAAACAGAATCAAGAGAGGAAGCAGAACACAGCAAATCTAAGCAACTTGTCCAAAGTTTTGTATCACAAGTTTTGCTAAACACTGATCATAAACATACTATCATACCTTAAGCATTCTGCATATCCAATAGCACAGCTCCTGCCAGAAAAGGTTAATTTCCTTTAAACAAGGCATTTGAGTTAACATTATTCCTCATTAACCTATTCAGTGGCAGAGATCATGAACAAGTTTTAAGTTTTCAAGATCATCCAGAAAAAAATGCTTCATTTCCAAATAACAGCATAAATTTCTTCATTTGAGATTGAAGATTAAGCTCCTCATTCTATATTGATACAAGGAATGTCTGATTTCCTCAAACTGCATTTAAAAATCTAAATGTGAACTGAAATACCCTCAAAGGCATCAGGTTGTTTGAACCCAGTCTTTTGTCTTCTGACTCATCTCTAGTGCTTCACTCTGCCTTGTTTCAGAAATTATTGACGCTGCTATACAAAAAGACCTTTCTGTGAGAGACAGAAAAAGACGTGTTTTCATAGTAAGAGCACAAAAACGTTTCAGTCTATCAATCTGCCCAGAACAGCTGCTGCATCTACTCTTCTCTGGTAAGGACAGATCATTACTTTTGGTAAAAAACTAGGTCAGCAAGAAAAAAAAACAACTAACATTTCTTTTTTGTTAGTGTATAAAAAGACAGGAACAAATTATTTTAAATATTTTCAGGTTCCTTCTCCTTTCATTATTTACTTCCACCTCATTTAAGTACTAGTTGCTAGCCTGTCATGACAAACAACAGCACTCTGAGATAAGGGCTCATATTTCTGGGAAAGACGGCACTTTGAACATTCGTAGGCTACAAAGATTGTGCTTTTCGTAGGCGTGGATATGTACTCTAGCACATTTTATTTAAAAAGACAGGTTATTATTTGAAAATCTTACCCTTGAGAAATCAGAATGAGAAAATGGGACCAAGTCAGACACTTACTTCTGTTTCTCTGCAGCTATCCCACTGCAAGAGCAACAACGTGTTCTCCAGGCAGATTAGATCTCTTTTAGGGCACTTACCAAGTGAATCTTAAATTATTTTTTTCTTTTTCATGTTTATAAGGAACTTCAGAAATTAATTCACACCCACATCCTTAAAACACTTTCATTACACATGAAAATGGGCTTATCAATAGAAACTGGCTTTTGCAGTGACCTAGCTATACAGGAAAGTAAAAATGCAGATTAGCCTATCTATGCTCAAGTTTCTCACTTTTCTGATCATGTGTAGATTACATGCTCTGCAGAGCAGATGTCCTGGTTGGTCCCAGAAACACATCTGTCATGAAGTTAAATCCTGACCTGATGATAGTTTGAAGATTACAGCATGGTTTTCAGGGGTCACAGAATACAAGTGGAAACTATCAAAACAACCAAAGCAGAGGACAAAATCAACCAAAAGCAGTTGGACAGCATCAGCAGACCTTAATCATGTACAGTTGTAGTGATGAGCCAAGACATTTCAGCAATAGAAGTGTACCACAGGGACATTCTTCAGCACTGAAGAAAAATTAACTGCTTCCAAGATGCTGAGTCCTGCTCATCAAGGTTAGTAATGACGTAAACTCATCTGCAGTATGAGACACTCTGGTAGACCTTAGATGAACTCCAGCTTTCAGGGATATGATTTTCTCTCCTAAATGCCAAGTTGATGACAAAGGGATTTCTGATCTCCCTTCAAACTTTACTGTTGTTAAACCAATGCAAACTGAGCTGAAATGAAAAGGCAACAGAGGCACCAGGTTGCATTCATATCAACTTAATCCACCAGTTGAATGACTACATATTTAATCCTGAATTCGAACAGGAAGAAGAAAACAGGGAAGTTAGCAATGAACTTACAGATGAAGAGATAGGTTTTTAACACTGAAATGAGAGATGGCCAAAGCAAGGAAGGTGTATTTTTTGACCAAAGTCTATTAATTCTATTATTCCTTCCTGTCCATTAAAAATATTATGATAAACACTTTTTACACATGAGAATTTCAGGTGAACATGCTCAGGAGCCAACAGATGGATCTGATGATAAAGGGGCTGGTCTTTTGAGCTGTGTACAGTTATTCTTTGATGAGTGACAAGACTGGAGTAGTTCATCAGTTTTCATCACACAGGAAGAAAACAAATCAGTCCTAAAGACAGTTCTATAAAGTATTGCCAAGTACTTCAGCCCCACACATGGCATCTTGTAATTTCTGGCTTCTCTTGAGATCACAGGGTCACCAAAAACCATTTGGTCCTACTCAAACATCCAGTCATGGAAAGTTTCTGATTTTCCTGAAGAGACTTTATAGTGATGAGAAATTATGTCCAATGTTTGGATTACACAGAGAAGGCAATTAGTATTTGTTTGCAGCTTAAGAATACCCTGGGTTTCTGACTCCAGAGCAAACAAAAAAAAGAAAAAGAAGACACGCCCCAGAAATCTCCCTTATTACATTTCACAGTTAGGCAGCAGGCATTGGAACAAATGCTTCCATAGACAACTTCATTTGTTTAATGCTTTTAAAAAATTACCTGTGACTGAACAACTGCGTTAGGAAATTCAAATCGCTTCTTGATGTCATCCAGCATTTTGACTCTGTCATATGACACTAAATTTCACCCTGCAAGAGAGATCAAAAAAATATACTTAGGACTAGGAAAGACAGTATGCTATTTCCCAGAAAAAAAAATTACAAGATTTATGTTGTACTTAAAAACAGATGCAAGCACTAAGCCATTTTCTTCCCCCTCCAAAGTCTACCGTATCACTTTGCCTTTTGGGCTTAAACCCAATAAAGGCTGAATACTCACTGATCTTGCACAAAGAATGGGTGATGGACATTTCTTAAAGATGCAGCAAATATACTGTTCCATATGGCACAGCATGTATGTACTCTGAAAGCATTTTAAATACATCTCATTGACTTGAAAATAGGACAGCTCAAGTGGAGTGTCCACTGCCTCTAAAATATTATTTAAAATGCAAAATTATCCACAATTTTTCCATCATTTCATGCAAAACCAGAAGCGAAACAAACAAAACACTCACCTGGGAGACTGCAAATGGTAATTGTAGTTAGGGGCTGGAACAGTTGACATGAAAACTTTCTCTGTGAGTTAGAATATGCAGGTACCCATAAGCACACAAGAATTTAAACTGAAGAGAAATCAGGACTCTGTTGCACACCAGTGAAACTGATGGCCACAGAAAATATCCAGATATTTCAGTTTACTGTAAACATACCTCCACCCCACCCTAACAGAGCTCTGGGGCAACAGCCTGGGGCACACAGGCCAGGGCAATGCCTGCCAGGGCCCATGGCCATCTCTGCAGAATTGCTCCTCACACAGCCCATCCCCAGTCCATATTGTAAGGGCTGGGCCAAGACACAGCATTTGTCATTGTTGAAATTCCTGAGGGTCCCATCACTCTGTTCCTCTTGTCCATGTCTAGGGCAGACATATATCCTATCTTTGACACACGAACAGGGTGAAAGACAGTGTTGAAAGCCTTGTTCAAATGGAGGTAAATGACACCTACCTTTGCCTGCAAATCCAATTATCATTTATTAAAGGCAATCAGGTTGGTCAGGAATAATTTTTCCTTGGTAAATCCATTACCGTGCTTATTATTCCTAATAAGAATCACTGAATCAGACAGTTTAGGAACAAAGATCTCCAGAGATCTTCTAGTCTAATCCTCTCATCAAAACTGGTCTGATTAGATCATCTTGCTCTATGTCAAATCCAGAGAAGTCTTGAAAACCTACAAGGATGGAAGTGGTGGAGTCACCATCCCTGAAGAAATGACTGGGTGTGGCACTTTGGGCTACTGTTTAGTTGACATAGTGGTGTTTGGTCAAAAGTTGGACTTGATGATCTTGGAGGTCTTTTCCAACTTTAATGATTGCGGGTCCCATCTGACTCAAGGATATGATACACCATCAACCCCGCAGGCAAAAAACATCCACCCCAAAGAAATCACCGAACACATGCACACAGGATAAAGAAAGAAAATACAAGGTATTGGAAAGGGAAAGAAAGCCTGGCTTGTTTTCCCAACATAATCAATGTGAATGATAAGCATCTGTTGAGAGTTGAGCTTGGTTTACTGCAAGGTGACTACCAAGCTGCTCTATCACCCTCCCTTCTCAACTGGAAAAGGGGAAAAACTATGATGAAAGGCTTGTGTGTGGTGAAAAGGACAGGAATATCCCTCAGAAATTACCATCATAGGCAAAACAGACTCAAGTCAAGGAAATTAATTTTAACAAATGAAGTCTGAGTAGAATGATAAGAAATAAGAACAAATCTAGAAACACATTACTCCTACCCCTCCCTTCCTCCTGGGTCAACTTCACTCACTACTAACTTCTCTACTTCTTTGCCCTGAATGGAGTAGGGTGTCAGGAAATGAGGTGATAGTCACACTCTTCCCCAGATCCAGCATGGGATCCCTTCCACAAGTCTGCAGTTCTTCATAAGCTGCTGAAGCAGTTTGTGTAGGTCCCTTCCACAGGGTACTGTCCTTCAGGAACAAACTGCCCCAGCATGGGTCCCCCAAGGGGTCCCTAGTCTTGCCAGAAAACCTACTCCAGTGTGGGCTTCTGCCTCCATGGAATCACAAAACCTGCCATGAGCTTGCTCCAATGCGGGCTCCTCTCCACAAGGTCTCAGCCTCCTTTGGGTATCCAACTGCTCCAGCATGGGCTACTCTATTGACTGCTTCATCACAGACCTCTATGGGCTGCAAGACACACAACCTACTTTACCATGGTCTTCACCATGGGCTGCAAGGGGAATCTCTGCTCCAGCACCCGGAGCACCTCTTCCCCTCCTTCTGTACCTTGGTGTATATTCTCACTTCTCTCCTCGGCCTGCTGTTATGCAGCAGTTTTTCTCCTTCTTAAACACATTATCCCAGAGATGCTGTCACCATCACTGGCAGGCTCAGAGGTAGGTCTGTCCTGGAGCCGACTGGCAGTGGCTCTGTTGGATACAGGGGAAGCTTCTGGCAGCTTCTCACAAAAGCGACTCCTACAGCCTCCTCTCTATCGAAACCTTGCCATGCAAATCTAATAAACCATCCTGATGATAAGAAGGACAAGCACTGCTAATGCAACTGAACCAGAGAAGGGCTGTTATGGTATTACACCTTCAGATCTGCTCCATACCAGTGCACCCAAAGTAATTACGTCAAGGTAAGCTAAGCTACACAACAGAATACGATCGCAGGGAGCACTGAGACCACATTTCCCACACATATATTGCCTTTGGCTCATTTTTAAGGACTTTCGATTTGAAATGGTGTTCCTACCAAACCAGCGCAGTGAGCACACCTGCCAACACCCGCCCCTCCCCCCCCGCTCCCGTGCGACGTACATGGCACTTCGTGGAGCCTCAAAACCACCAGCTTTAAATTAAAAACAAGCCAAATTAAAACAAATAACACCGGCTCACACAGGGCAGCAGCGGTAGCTGCCTTTACTCCGCTGCCGGCCTGACGCAGCTGATCGGTCCCCGCGCCCATGCAGGGGCGGCGGAGCTCCGGCCCTTGCTCCGCGCTCTCCCCCTCCGCCCTACTGGCGGCCCCGGACCGGCAGCACAGCCGCCTCCCGCCGCTCCGGCCCCTCACCTCTGCTCGGCGGAACTCGGCTCAGCCCGGCCCGCGTCGCTGCACGCCCCGCACAGACCCAGGCACCGCTCCACCGCACCCCGGCAGGAAGCGGCCGCCCCCCGCGCCCAGGCCGCCTGCGTGGCGGGCAGCGCAGGCGCGGCGGGGCGAGGGAAGCTGCGGGATGAGGAGGAGCGTTTACCTTGTGTCGAAAAAAAAAAAGGGAATTAATTCCCCTAAACAGGAAAGAAAACAAATTTTTATCACCTTCAAAATTACCGCAGAGTGAGTGCCTTCAGCTTCCTAAGTGCTTTGACTGGCAGTCATCGATCAAGCTGCAGAGACATCAGGAAGACCCTGGACACCAAAAATAAATGATGTTCTGGTTGCTGCATGTTATCAGAGAATCAATTAGGTTGGAAAAGATCCCCAAGTCTACACTTTCTCAAAGAGAGAAGAAGAGTTTAAGGTCAGTTCAGATGTATTTTGGTAACTGTTATGTTACCAAGAGGTAACCATGTGGCAGTGACAAAAGAGGCTGTATTCTCAATTAATAGTTATTTTAATGCAAAACATCACTTCTTGAACATCAAAGTAATAGGCAACTTCTGCAAGGCACATTTAACATAAGAATGGCTATCAGTAAGAATATCTTCAGAGAAAATCACAAATATTTTGAAAGGAATTTGTTTGAAAAGGGTTAGATAATTCTCTACCTCAAGGTTTTCTACCCTGAGTTGGTTTGCACTGAAAGTAGTGGAATGCTGACAAATAGGAAACAAAAGTAAATGTAGGCAAGTCCATCCAATACTTTTATTCATTTAAAAAGATAAGGGATATATTGTTTCCAGCTTCACCAACCAAAGCCATAGGCAGTTTATGGCATCTAAAGAGTCCTACCCCTGCCTTCATTGAATTGGTGGAAAACCATGCCCTGAAACTTCAAGAGCCACAAAAAGTCCAGAAGTGACTCAGAGATCAAAACTGTATTCTCTTCAGCTGCCTACATGTGTACACAAAAAGTGAAAATCAATCACATCCCATGGGTCATGCAGACTGCTTTCTTTATCCATGGTCTCTCAATGGCAACTCTTTGCAAACAGCACATACAAGTATTTGTGAGGTGGCTTTTGACTCAGTACCCTCTGCCCAAGATGGGCTCTCACAGCTCATTGCTGCTGAAGCTGCAGTATCTGAAGATCAGTTAAAAGAACCCATAGGACCTTTCACGGGGGTGTATTTCAGTCCATCTCTAGGTGACCATAGGCAATGACATGAATCCAAAGGCAGTGTCCAGTCTCCTTCCTATTTCATGATCTCTGTTTTGTCTAAGAACATCTCTCTATTGACAGGCTGGTTTGTTATTGACATATTTTGAGATACTTTGGGCCTCATATTCTCTGTTTAGTTCTTGAGACATAGTAGGACATACACTGCTGTCTGAAGTGGCTTGGGCCTGTGCTATGCTGCTTGGTAACCTAAGTGATAGGTAGACCCAGAACCCGTTGAGTTAGTCTGTGAATTCACTAAATCTTAAATCTCTTCAGAAATTTTTGATGGTGTTTTATAAAAAAATATTGATGGCTATATATTTGAATAGTTAGGAGATCATCATTATTCAGTCAGGCTAGAGAAATAGAGCTGAATGGAGAGGAGAGAGCCTGTACTATAAACCAGGTCATTTTTTGCCATTCTAGTTTTGCTTGGAAACATAAACAAAAAGACTTCTGATGGACATGAATGTCTTTATGGTTTTGAGATCTTCACATGCAGGGAATACAGGGCATTTGTTGTGGGAATTTTACTGTGGTTGCCCCCTCACACTAAGTTTGACTCAGTGAAAAAGTTACACGGCCGAGTATTTTTCCAATAGTGCAGGGTGAGAATGGGGTGTCTGACTGCATTCTGTACCAGGGAGTGAGGGGGCGAGGTGGCAGAAAGAGGCAGTGTGGGGGCTTTCTGAGTCTTGGTAAAAATGTCTCAGCAGCAGATGTCTTAATAAAATAGCTGATACAATAGCAAGAGGAATGTAGATAGCAAATAAGACTTGTGTCCCTTCAGATAGTGGGAATTCTGCCTTCAGGACCCCAGATGTATTTTCCCATGGCATGCTGCGCTGATCCCGTATGTGGAAAGAGGTTCCTCCTTTTTCAGTTGTTGTAGCTACTACTTATTATGCATCTTTATGTAAGATGTATTTTCTTCTAAGAAAACTCTGTTCATAAGGGATGTTTGTATGAGAATTCGTGCAGGACTTTCGATACAGGCAAGGCCAGGGAGATGATGTAATTGCCAGTGGTGAGTGGGAGCTGCCTGCAGGCTCCTCAGTTAAAACATGCTGGATGAGTTTGTCCAAGGGACTTGTGCATCATTACACAGGCTTGAAGGCCACGCTGGACATGCAACACAGCACAGTGCAGCACAGCCCTGCACCTTCTCAGGTCAGCTGAAATGTGGGTCTCTGACTCCTCCGTATACAATAGTCTCCTGGTCAGGATCCATACATTCCACTCCTTGATCCACATACACATTGCCTTTCACAGAGATTATGTAAATTACAGATTACATTAATAACAAATGGGCTTCTCTGACATAAAGTGTAAGGCCCGATAGAGCAAACATGGCCCGTTCAAGATTGCTGATTCCTGGGTAACAACATCTTCTGCATGACTCACAGTACAGTTTGTCAGGTCCATCCCTCGCTTGCTGCTGGGGCAGAGAATGAATCAGTCCTCATTGCCACCACATCCACTCTTGCACTGGGTAAATACTTGGAGTGTGGATGCATTTGGTGTGCTTCTTTGCTATTCTGTTACACTTTTTCCCCCCACTTTGATAGAGACTATTTTTGTTCACTGCCACATAGCCTTTTAGCCAAGCAGCTTTTCCTTTTATAACTGCCATGTCGCAGAGCTTGCCCAGACAGGTGAAATGTGTCTCAGTAGCATCCTATCCGAGGAAGCTTCTCTAGTTGCGTGTAAGCTCCATGTTATACCCTGGAGAGGGAACCCTAGTCCTGAGTACAGTGCCAAATCTGCTGTTGACCAAATGAACAGTAGCCACAATGGCTTTCAATTTGATAAAAATTGCAGTGAGATCTCTTGAGGGTAAAGGAGCATATAGTCATTTGAAATATTTTGGTGCTGACAGTTCTGAGCATGTTGATGCTATGAGGCATCTTGCTTTGAGGGGCACTTCACCAGAGGTGTCAGGATATCAGGGATATCACATTCATTCTCTGGATTGACTGTGGTGCTTAATTGCCAGCACAGTTCCTAAACCCTGAGTTTCATGCGGCTCTTGTAAGGACGTTGAGATATTAGAACATTGACTGTACATAACACAAACACTCTCACAAAGGGCTTTTGGTAGCTCCAGAGATTCAGTCATGGCTTGGGACTAAAGGAAGCCATCTCTTCTTTGGGAAACCAGGTACTGTCTTATGGTCTCAATCTGTTTAAATAATGTATTTTTCTATCTTGATATCTCAGAAGCAGGAAAAAAGCAGAAGATATCTCTTAAAGGACATACTTAAATTCACAGATCACAGAATGACAGAATATGTTGAGTTGGAAGAGACACACAAGGATCATCAAGTTCAATTCCTAGCCCTGCACCGTACCATCCCCAAGAGTCATGTGCTTGAAAGTATCATCCAAACACTTCTTGAACTCTCCTAGGCTTGGTGCTATGACCACTTCCCTGTTCCAGCATCCAACCACCCTCTGTGTGTAGAACATTTTTCTAATATCCAGCCTAAACCTCCCCTGACACAACTTCAGGCCATTCCCTGTGGTCATTGGTCACCACAGAGAAGAGATCAGTGTCTATCCCTCTCCTTCCCCTCATGAGGAAGTTGTGACTGCAATGAGGGCTCCCCTCAGTCTCCTCTTCTCCAGCTGAACAGACCAAGTGACCTCAGCTGCTCCTCATACGGCTTCCCCTCAAGGCCCTTCACCATCTTCATGGCCCTCTGTTGAATGCTAAGAGCTTAATATCTTTCTTACATTGTTGTGCCCAAAACTGCACACAATATTCAAGGTGAGGCTTCACCAGTGCAGAGCAGAGTGGGACAATCCCCTCCCTCAACCAGCTGACGATGCTTTGCCTGATGCCCCCAGGACACGGTTGGCCCTCCTGGCTACCAGGGCATTGCTGGCTTAGACATTGCTTTTGATTGCCTTTCATCTTACAGGTCTTAAAGAGCCTGGCTGACAAACTGCGATATGTTTTCTGTAGTTGCCAGAAGTGTTGCCCCCAGCTTTCAAGGTTGTTATAGTAAAAGAAATACTTGGGGGTTACAATGGCAGGATCAGTGCCAAAGCCATAATTAGGTTGGATTAAAAGTAGTTCATATCAGCTGCAGAGTATGCTGAAAAATCTGCTTTCCCTATTCAAATGTGAAAGAAATTTGATTTGACACCTCTGGGAGGTGTCTCCAACACAGCATCCTGCTGGTCTTAATGTGGCCTATCTGTTATACAGAAAACAATAAAAGTAGGATTCAGCTTGCTTGGATTGGGCTGTCAAATAGGCTTACCACTCTCCAGTTCATGTAACATAAGTTTTTGAAAGGGTTAGCAAATCCATGAAGACTGCCTTATTCTTTGGTTGTGAATTTTCTTCCCAGAGAAAAACAGGAGTCCTCCAGTTACACTTCTTCTAGGCTATTCTAAGTTGTTTTAGACAGTCATCCCATGAGGGGTGATGCACTGGTAATGCTCTCCAGGAAATGCCAGAAGGTACTTTTGGCAGCATTTGTAATGTGCTGTGAAGTCTCCCGGTGAAGGTTACTATCCAAATGAAAATCGTACAGTAATAACACTGATAATGGTCTAATCTGCATATCTCATTTCTTACATGGGATTTTATCCAAGCCAGAAAGCAATTCTAGCTTTAATAATGAAGGAAAGGAATAAGGAAAGTTACAGCTTAGAATACATTGCAGAAATCAATAGCACCAAAGCCAGCCACTATTTAAATATGTTTATTATAAACCTCTTAAGCCTGATAATAAAATGCAGTTTTAGCAAATGGGTCTAGTCAACTATGTTTTTACCCTTTATTACTAAGATGAAGGCTTATTTTAAATGCATTCAATCTGCAGATGCAGCT